CAGTGCCCGTTCTTGACAGTTCAAATGTTTCTCGTAGGATCATTTAATGTTTATTGGTTATCGCCTTTACCTTGATGACTCCGTACAGAAAATGATGCGATTGTTATTGCTAACCATATTTACATCTAATTGTTTTTGTCGACAGAGTTAATAATTTAATTGAAGGACATTTCCTATCATTTATCCTTGTCATTTACAATTATCTTTCATAATAGCTATATTCGTATCGGAAATTATTAATATTTTACATTAAATATATATAGATGTAACTAATCAGTTATATGAAGAAAGGGTTGTAGCTTTAAAGATCTGTGGTTATTTAATATTCTTTATAGATTGTGTCTGATACAAACAATGGATCAGCTTCTCGTTATCAGCATATATGCATAGAAAAATTGGTGTATTTAAATAAATCAGTGGCGCTACTTAAGGTTTGGGCATCCGATTTCTGTATCTGTTTCATGATTTGTCAATCTAATAAGCTAGTGCCTTTTTTTATTGTAATTTTTATCCCTTTAATTGCTGCTCATGCCCCTGTAGGAAGGGCAACAAAACAAAAATTACAATTAAATCTCATTTAAAGCTTTATCAGCTTGAGATTTACGTGAAATCATAGATTTTGACAATACATGGCATAGACAAAACAATGGCGCAAGTTCATTCCTGATAATGAGCTGTCCTGTGGGTTCAACAAACCTATTTTGCAAGTAAAATAAGCCGCGACATCAAATCTGTAACGCATTGTAAATTACGTAGTTTCATGTTGAAAAGCTGCCAAAATCAGGTGACAATTTGATATTTAAAAGGGTAGTTACAAAATAAACGATTTTTTGTGTATAAAAAATATCCGAGTTCCCTGGATGATGTTATAATTACTAAATTAGCTTTAAATACACGAGATCCACGTATTGAAACACCTAAACAAAAAACAAAAAAGGAGGGTATTTGCAAAGGATGAGTTTTGCCCAAAAGGGGTTAGAACTTGAATTGTCAGTAAGTTTTTTCATTAAAAAACAAAACGTTATATCTTCAACATTAAATTTCAACAATGGAATACGAAATTTTCAAGTTTCACTCTTATACGGTATTATTTTTATATTTTAGTTTTTTATTAAGACTTTTAGGTTTAAAGACTTAATTTTCTCAAAAAGACAAAAAAAAGACTTAAGACTTTTACTATATGTAAGGGGAAGACCCCTAAGAGACTGTATATTATGTAGTAGTAATTAATAAATTAGGTTAGACTAACAAAATAATTATAAATTAAAACAAATGTAAAAAGTTTGGTCCCTGTGGCAGTGTACCTTTAATATTACCTTTAAATCATTTCAACTCGGTATTGCGATACTTATTCGTTGAGCGAGAAAAACACCAGCTCTGAGGTCACCGGTGCAACCAGGCGACAACTTAAATCTTTAAAAAGCTGTGTATTTGAACCCCACGGCCCAAGAGTCTACTCCAAAGGGAACAAAATCTTTGGTTACATTTAAATAACCTAGGTATTAGTCTTAAGTTAGACTAGATCGTAATGTTCCATGTCTCGGTAAAGACACATGTATTAAAAAAAAACTAAATAAACACTAATACGGTATTAATTTTATTATTTATTATGTATTAAGATGCGCCGAGCCACGAAGCGAAGCCCCTATAATTCCATACAATATAGTATATTGTATGCTACCTGCTTTATAAAAACCTTTGTGGGGTTCGCGGCAGTTAGAAAAAGTGAAACTGTAACAAGTCAGACCCAGTTGAGTTCACTGACCAGATATGTACCCCGATTGGCGACTACTGGCTGATTCATCATCGCTGGTTGCACCTTCGCTGACACCAGTGACTCATTATTCACAAAGGAATTGTCCAACAAAAGAAATATCGTAATTAGTCCAAAAATATTATTGTGACGTATAGTCTGTGGTTATAAAAACTTTTTTACATTATTACCATAAATTATAGTAAAAAATAGAATTTCATTTTTAATTACTGAAAACTACAGACTATATCGATCACCTGTTTCGATATTCGAATGGAATTTTATTCTGTGATTTGATGAAATGGGCCAACGCTCTACACTTCCTGTCGAATTTGAATACCTCTGTAAAAAACTCAAGGGTTTGTTGTCGGAGGGCAAAGGCCCAGGTTATTGCACCTTTAGACGTATCGAACTTCAAACCGTACGATAGAAATATTATAACATAACAAAGAATTCGTTTTGGTGCTTATTCTTTACTCATTTATTCTATAACAGCGCTCAGAGTCGTTGATTAAATTATCTTTGATGGAAGATTAATAATTATTACTTTTAATACAATGGAACACATATAATATAAGCAACTTAAATTTCGGTAGGTTCACTATTAGTGGCGTACCCAAAACATTTTGTTTTGGTAATCTTGCGAGCCTTATGTGAGTGCCCATGGGCGGCGGTCACTAAACATTTTTTTTAATATAGAAAGGTGGCAAACGGGCAGGAGGCTCACCTGATGTTAAGTGATACCGCCGCCCATGGACACTCAATGCCATAGGGCTCGCCGCTCGCGAGTGCGTTGCCGGCCTTTTAAAATCAAATGCGTCAGTTCTTTAAAAAACTATTTTACTAAAAAGCAAGACTAATTTTATATCTTTGATTGTACGAATTAGTAGTAAATTAATTATATGATTTTAAGTTCATAAATAATAAATAAACATCGTATGGCGGTCAAAAGAATTCCTCCACCATGAGTGCATTGACCTGAATCTATTCCCCTCGACTGGGGACCGGGGTGCATTCCGCAATAACCATAGAGTTTTTGTTTCAATTGTCAACTGTCACTTCAACATGTCCAAACAATTCCCGCCATAAAATAAAAACGTTAGTAAAACGTTATTTGTCTTAAATTTAATTTCTTTGATATCATAGTAAGATATATTTGAACAAATCAAACATAGCAAGGCTTTCATACAAGTTTTTAGAAGGCAAGGCATGTTTTCTAAACAAATTTTTAGACAAAACAACACGTGATTACACATTGTATTAGCCACGTGTAACCTGTTAGGTATATTCGTCGAAAAATTATTATAAGTGTATAATCGAATACGCAGAACTCGTCTTAATATATTAACGAAGCCAAAAACCTGTTTATGGTCGACTTTGTATTTGATATTCACTAATTGCGGTACATTCGAGCTTCCTGGTTATACAGTTAGAACGAGATGACACCAAAACAATTTATCTAGCCTCAATACGCGAGGTAAATAAGGAAGGTCGCTTGCGCGAGACAAAAACACATTGCTTCCATATGTTAGAGCGAGACCGAATGAAAACAAATCAATAAGTCATCTCGCGTAGAAAGAGATGGCGCAACAACAAACCGGCATTTCACGTGCACGCGATTATGCACCTTAATGCAATGTTGTATTTTCTTACATTAAACTCCTTTGTTCCAGTGTTTTTGTTAACATATGTCTTCGTATTCATAACATTTCACACACAATCAAGCGTTGACTCGAATTATAATTATTAAACAAAGGAATGACTTAAAAGTAACTATAGAACATTATAGTTACAGTCTACATAAATAACAATATTATAGTAGCCTGTAACTCGGCCAACTCGAATTAAATCATCTACACACTAATATACTGCATACTGCAATACTCGGCACACATACACAAGTTCCGGCACGTGTAACTCGTACGGATAGCACACAACGAATCTCAGGGACGTTTATTATATAAAACATTTTAAAGCCAATATTGCATTTATTTAATGCGTTTTGCGTGTAAAAACAATGATCTTGACTAAATGAATACTGAATTTTTTAACAAGACAATCGTTTTTTTATAATTAATATATTTATTGAGATATAAATATGGAATTTAAGATTACGTCACGGAATAGAACCACAGATTAAAGGAAGAAGGTATATAGATTTATCAGTTAAAATTTATGTGTTACGATCGAGGGGCTAAACTAGGTCAGTGATGCAATAAGGGTTGGGACACCGGCTCCCCTGGAAGCTATATCTAGTACATACCATATTTATTACACCAAATTCCGCATTCAATTGAGTGCAAAGGGCACATCATTGACACTCACTTATGAGAAATGATTCATTTCCTGCAAACACCACTCACATAATTGTTTCTATCTGGAAAAGAAAAATAATTCAACCTTCGCAAACCCTTGGCCGTGGCGCGAGACCTAGTTCCCCTCCCTCCGCACCCCCCTGACCTAACCTAGTTTAAAATGCACTTGATATAGCCGCGTCATTGTCGGTCCGATAGCAACCCAATTCGCGTCCCTGACATATCACACGAGTGACGTCAGCCACGAGCCAACGTAATACCGTTACGCACTTCAGGCCTATTTGACAATAATTATTTAAACAAAGAATTTGCTATTGTTGCGTAGTAACACGTTTCGTTGTTTTTTATCTAACTTTGAATGTGACCTACATTGCTCGTTGTAACCAGATTGATAATTTTTGTCAAATGACGTCATTGAGTATTTGTTTTATTATAAAACTATAGTGCATATGCAATTAGGGCGTGGTTTGCAAGCGAAGTGGAAACACGAGGCCGTGGCCTAGCGTTATGTACTAGTCACCTTCATATGAATAGCTTCCTAGGTTAGTTCAATTGTTCGAAAATTATATATTTAAGCGTCATTATGGATGATTCTGACAGTTTTGGTAATGTACTGATCCACCAAATCACCGAACTGAAATGGTATGTCCATCCACAAATAGTTACGTTAATAGTTAGTCACGTTTATATAATTTACTTAACACGAGATTGATCAGGATAAAAATCAATTCCAATATTAAAATTCTCAAGGTTACGCTGTCAAATGTCAAACTTCAAGAAAAGACAGCTCTTGAAAATCTAACTGTTTGACAATATAGAATACGGTCGCAATGTCTTCCGTTTGTCAAATCGTTTCTTAGTTAAATAATAATTTTACACTATAAATCATTTATAAAAATAATAGATTTAATTGGAATTTTCTTTGTTTACAGGTAAATAGCGTCGTGTTCGAATGCACCTGGAGAGGATGTGGTTACATCACACACACCTGTTTTTCTATTGAAGCACATATCAGACAGACTCACTTAGGGTAAGTATTATTCGTTAATAAGCCACAGATCATAGAATGAATATTACCTAAAAAAGTATAAAATACTTAAAACTAAGGGCGTAGTTGGCATTAAATTAAACGGAAGTACTAAAACGTTAAAACTACACGAAAATATCTTAAAAGACCCGCCAAAATATATATTCTCTATGGGTATAGAAAACTATATAACCTTCTTGTCCATTATTGCAGTGAAATTATTATAGATACAAAATTTTGTCTATTCTGTTTCCAATGAAATACTAATTCTCAATCTATACCCGGAAATAGAACTGCAACGAAGCTTATTACAAGAATATTGCTTAGCTACACGTTCTGGGACAAGGCCGTGTGCCTCGCTAATTATGTAACTGCATGCTGCAACAGATATTTTTATCTAGATCGTGACATAAACTGCCAACAATTTAGAATCCGAACAGCAATCGTGAAGACTACATAAACTAACATCAAATAGTCATGTCAAGTCAAAATCATTTATTAATATACACACAATGTACCTACACTTATGAACGTCACAAAAGAAATATACATATACGAATTGCTTCTAATTTTACATTTACTGCCAGTTCCCAAATCAAGGGCGTAAAACGGAAGAGAAGAACTGGCAATAAACTCTAAAAAAAACTAAAAATAATCTGTGTAATTATCTTAATTGTTGAAGTTATCAATTATTTTCTAAAGAAGGGTCAAGCTTTAAAGTTAAAGAGTTTAATAAAAAGTACGATAAATCCCTGCCCTTTATTGAATCCAAGATAAACGCGAATCAGTCACAGCTTATGTCATCATCAACCATAAATACTGACCAGAGACGTAACATGAGAAATAATGATATAGGAATGTCATTTAGTCTTGCAAACACTTTTCTACCCGGATCACGCAGTAATGCGAAAATGGAAGTCTAAATTGTACTAATACATTGAAACTAATATTACTGTATAATATAAAATAAATCACGTCATATCAACCAAAATAGACGAAAAGCACTCAAATGTAATTGTCAAATGTCATTCATAGACAGATATTTTAAGATATAGATAACATATTGGAAATAAAAACATTTGGCCTAAGCTGTGGCAATTGTGTACAAAAAATGCTGAGCTGAGGTTTCAAACAACTCAATTATTATTGCAGGCCAAAGAAAGAAGGTGAAAGTGATCATGAAGAGGAGTTCTATTACACGGAGCGTGAAGTGTCTACGCCAGCCCCGCCACCCACTTTATCCCACCGAGACATGTGCAGGCCTCCACATGAAGATCCTGATTATCAACGCCAGATTGTTGGATCTTACAGGTAAAAACTGCAATAAGACCGTTGTCACACTCATGAAACACTCCAATCCATCCAATGATCCAGTGGTATAGGGGGCACACGGGCAGTAGGCTCACTTGATGTTAAGTGCTACCGCCGCCCATGGACACTAAATACCAGAGGGCTCTCAAGTGCATTACTGGCGATTAAGAATTGTACCCTAAGTCGAATTGGTTCGGAAATACTTCAGTGGGCAGCTGGTTCCTAGCTAGTGGTGCGCGGCAACTACTGCCTTAAAAACGCTCAGTTGTGGAACATCGGACGTCGAGGTCTGTCCAACTGTGTTCTGTGTCAACTTTTCGGCGTAAATCATGCCATTTTTCCCAAGATTTTCCTCCCAACAAGCAAAAGTTGCGCCGCCTGTGAACGCCAATACACCAAACTTCATCAAACTTATGATTAAATGTATCACTGGCGCTACAACCTTCTTAGGTCTGGGCCTCAGATTTCTGTATCTGTTTCATGATCATTTGTCAATGCCTGTGCCTGACACACGCTGTTGACTTTTAGGGTCTAAGGCAAGCCGGTTTCCTCAAGATGTTTTCCTTCACAGTTCGAGCGAATGTTAAATGCGTAACATAGAAAGTCCATGGGTGCACAGCCGAATGAACCTTCGACCTCATGGATGAGAGTCACACACTGAAGCTATATATTAGTATAATTAAGAACAGGATATGTCAAAAAATCTTTAGGATAAATTTATAGATGAAAATTTATTACATAAATCCTTTTTTCTAGACAAGGACTTCTATCAACTATGCAGAACATATCAGCGAGGTCCATAAGCATTCCCGTAACGCATTCCTGGTCTAACTCACACTCCCCGGTATGTATTTGTGAATACCACTCCTTATATGGAAATTTTATTCGTTTTTACACCAAACTCTCAAGCGAAATTAGAGAATTATCACTAAATAAATTCAAAGCTCTCGTTAAACGTAAATTAATCAATACAGCTTTTTATAAATTTGACGAACATTTAAATAATCCTAATCCTTGGGATTGATTTGCTCCAGTTCAAACAATTTGCATGACTCAAAACTTAGCGGTTAAAAAGAGTGGCGGAATGTTTCTTGTCAGTTCTTCTTGACCGCTCTACGCCCATGCGAACTGGTAATAAATGTAAATTTATAATTAATTTAACTTCTTTTCTGACGTTCATAAGGGGACTTGTTTACCTATATGAATAAAGTTATTTTGACTTTAGGGAAAATCGTCAGATTCTGTTTTGTCTTCCCCTGTCAAGTAATTACTTAAAATTCCATACTTGCTACTAGACTTATTTCAATAAAGGCGTAAATCCTTTGTAAAAGCGTAATTCTATCATAAAATTTTCGAAAGATAAGAAAAGCATATGAATTTCAGAAGCACATGAAAATATCAGCATCAGGTGCATCCCCTAGCAGCCCGGGCCGCAGACCTCGCTCAGACAATAAGAAGTGCAGGAAGGTGTACGGAATGGACCAGCGGGATCAGTGGTGCACACAGTGCAAATGGAAGAAAGCGTGCACACGATTTGGTGATTAAACACTGAACTTCGCAAATGAGGTTTTATACGAGTAACTTCTACTGCCAGAACAGATGCCAGGGTTATACATTACCCAACATACCAGGGTAGTGACATCACCGAACTTTGAGATAGTGTCGTATCGGACATTAAGTATTTTAAGACATGATATTTTAAATTTAAGTAATGTTAATGGAGACATATTTTTCCTTTCCTGTGGCTCATGACTACAGCAGACATTGCCCACATATTTTTGTAGGGATACGAAATGTCTTGAACAGAGACTGTGAATATTTAGACATAAGCCTATGTTAGACTGACTTTCGCTTAGTGTGAAAACATTTGGACATTAGCGTTTCCTACTCACTAGCACATTTGACCTGTACAGCATATTGCACATGCAGATATATCTATTTTATGACTATTATACTTCTAAAAGCCAAACACCGTAATAACTAGTCGTATTTTTTTATCAAATTTATTTGTTTACGAGCTTTGATTAAGTTTGCGAATGACAATTGACATATGTCAGTGAAATCCGTCCGCGTTCACAGAGCGCAGTAAATAAATGTTCTCACACTGCGAAATTATAATCTATATCGACGGGGTGACCATCGTTCCAGTCGAAATATACAAATGGTTGATATGTTTATGTATTGACTGAATTAGAAAATATACTTAATATAAGTTTTCTCAGGTTTGACTAAAAGACTAAAATTTAGATTGGAATTTTTAAACATATCTGTACGTATACATGTTGGTCCTGGAGATGAAGACAATACTCAGGATTGAGGATAAAAGCTTGGACAAGAGAAGGAGAGTCGGTTGATCTGACGAAAATTATTGGTGCTAATTCTGATGAACTTAAATTTCAGAGTATGATTGAAATTTCACGAACGGAGTTGCATATTCCGTTACCTATAGTAGCTCTGACAGATAACACAACGATTTTGACAGCAAATGCTTATGTCAAATTTGTGACGCATTCTTACGATAGTTTTTAACTTCAACTCACTGTCACTACAGACTACATATTCCAATAGATTACACAACTTAGACAGAATTAGCACTATTAAAGCAATAAATAATAAATGCTTTAAATTGACATCTAAGTTTGATAAAGACATTTTATGACGGATTAATTGCCCAATGTTTTGAAAGGCGTCAAGAACGAGTTGTCTATGAAGATGGCTCTACATATCACTCATGACCTAATGGAGTTATATTTAATTGAGGCGGTATATGACACGTAAAAACATCTTAACGTGATTTTATTACGGAAAGGAGAAATTCTTTTAATTAAGAATATTTTTACCATACGACCGATCGGCTCAAGGAAGGAAAACGGACGTGAAAGGCTATTGCAAGATGCAATATTATTGATTAAGTATTATACATATGTGAATAATATATAAGTTACGTTTTATTATAGGTACCAAAAGCAATCGTAATATAGGGTACCTCGAGTGAAATATTTATGTTCGTTACTTAATGTGATTATTAACGATAATTTTATAGACACGAAGTATATTAAAGTTATGAATTAAGAATAATATATTGAATCATTTATCAGCGCGGCGTTTCCATATCTGGTGTTACCATTTAAGTTAAATTCGAAACAGTGCCAATACAATGTTTATTCAAGTGTTCATGTCTTATTGGTGCTTTTGCAAAACGCACAGTAAATTTTATATATTGCGTGACAAGCTGTGGTTATGGCCAAATGCCTCGTAGCCACACAGGTATCGCTTATCTTGCCAAATTGCAGTTCAATTTGACCTGCACCGTTTACCAAATATAACAGTTATTGTCAAAGGTTGTGATACAAATTATTGTAATGAAAATTACGATACTTTAATTCACATTGAAATTCGCGCGCGAAAAACCAAATGATCCCCTTTAGGCTAGGATAACAACTCAGCTAGCGTTTAATCAACTGCCATAATTTAAGAAATTAGATTTATCTATGGAATAGAAACAGTATAGATTAGCTTAAGCTGGAAGTCATAGAGTAGTATTTAATTAAGTACAATAAACTTCATAACGTGCAAATATTTCCCTTGTTCCTATTCCCTCTTGACATTTTCAATGTTGCTCTATGTTTTGTCTATGGTCAAAATGCTACTTGGTGCTCGAACTGCTTTTGCTGAATCAAACCGATCTCAACATTCACGAAGCTATTAGATTTATTTACAAAAATATTATTTATTAGTTTTATATTTGTATTATTAGATTTTATGTTTTATTTATTTAGCCAAATTTGCTCAATGTACACTCACCAAAGTCATAATAAAAATAGCAGTACAAAGGGCATAATAATGCGCAAAAAGTATTTGTAAATTGCCGACTTGGCGGCTTGCGTTCATATCATATAAAGGCGGTTTTGAACGTCGAGAAATAATTTTAGTTATACGAACGCTAGTCTAGACTAAGTCTTATGCTGAAACATTTTTTCATAGATTTTATTTTCGAGAGTGTATCTTTATTAGTTACATACAGTCGCGTTGTGAGAGTTACTCAATAATAATTTAAATAAATTATTGTTTAGTACACTCTAAAGGTACTTATCACTGTATTTATAAGTTTTCATATATTTTTATACAGTTTCCCATCACCGCTTTTCTGTCATATAAATAACTATATGTAAATTACTGTGCCTCTTCTTAAACTTAATATATAATAAGAAAAGAATGTAAATATATATAATTGATACTTAAGTACCTTCCCGATAAGACTTCTTACTAATCTGTTACAAGTTGAGAGAATATACCTATTAGAATATTGCTTTAATCGGCCAATAGATTTCCAATTTCGTTCCATAGACAAGGTTGAACAAAAAAGTTTATCTAATATCTGTATTTATAACTGTTAGCTTATAATCTGTGTAACTACAATCTGTAAATTGTTGTGGGCAATATAATTTTATGAAAATATGTCTCCTAAATTTATGTAATAACAGAAATAGGTGTGGTTCTATGGGTTAGACGCATTACATCAAAGTACCTTAACTAGTTTAAACTGGAAAATTCACCTTCATTTATTCTTTGATTTTTATAATTAGTATTATTAAATTTACTATTTATTTAGACAATGTTCACGATGACATATTTTTAAGTAGTTAATTGTTTTATATTTTTATCTTATTTTAATTTTTAGGGCGTGTCCCGTCAATGTATCATTAATATATTTACGATGGTTACCAGTAGATGTAAGATGTGTGTCTTTATCGGAACATTGATACGATTCGTTCTCGATGTAGGCATATTTCCATATTAAAGTTATTGTTATTGTCAATATCACAGAAGTGCATAACCCGCTGTCAGCATTACATTTATTCATGAATCAACTGTTAAAATAATACGTAAGAATTTTGGCGCGAAATGTTTATGGCCAAACTTCAAGGTCAATTGTCAAATTATATGCACAGACTGAGGTCAGAGGTGTTTTTAGTTGGGAATCGTTGCAATATTTGCTGATGATATTAAAAATACTTAGAGGCCTGACTTTTAAGGTTAATTGCCTTTTAATGAATAGGTAACGCGACTATTTCCAAACCAAAGCATTGGCGATCGTAATTCACTTTGTGTATGGGTGATATTCAAAAATGAGACTTAGCGCTAAGCCTGACTCGCGTACGTCAAATTAAGTGCAAAGTTTATTTTTTTTTAATCTCACCCTAAAGCATTGGCGGTAGATACCAAATCAATGCCAAATAATCACGCTTGTCTGCCCTCAATTTTTGTCTAAACATTACTGCTGACAGTTCATCTATTGTGATATTTATAATTTTTTATTTATAGTAGATGAAATCTTGTGTTAAACGTTTTATATGAACTAGCGGATAAGTATTGTTACTTTAAATAGTACCTCCTAAAAGCCTTAAACCGTTTGCTGATATATAAACCACATTCCATAGATTATCTATGGAATACAGATTCAAATTGTAACAAATTTTGAAAAAAAATAACTATAACTGTGGGTCTACCATGAATACGTCAATATCTTACAGTCGAAACTTGTCCCACCAAGTGAGCCTCATGATAAGGATGACCTTACCGATTTCTTAAAGAGGCTTTGCTCCTAATTGACTTAATTAGTTTACAGTACCCGTTTATATAGCATGTGTGTGATGTGTGTCATAGCATAGCATATCAAACTCCTGGAGGCTTAGACATAATGCCTTAACAGTAGTGTAATTGCAACTAAATTTGTATGATAATTTGTCGACACGAACTGTCATTTTCATACAAATTATGTTTTCGACTTTGTACATACACTTCTGTTAAGGCATCTTGTCTAAACCCCTGGTAGAGATATTGGAACTAATTCAGTGTCAAGACTCAGCGCTACGTATGACAGTTTGTCAACAGCCTTTTGACAGATGACAGGAGTCATATTTAGTGAAGTAGGTCGGTTAAACGTCATGGTAGCCCCCGTTTTACGGTCTAAAGATTTTCCTTGGTACATTCAGCTCTCTATAAATAGTCGAATTGTGAAACACCATTCAAAGGACATTGTTTCACAGATTATAAAACATTATAATCACAGATTATGTTAATTTTGAACAATGTATTGAATTATTTTCCCGAAATGAATTGTGAAAATATATTTAAAATGTAGTACTATCTCTCGATATTGTTTTATGAGATTTGCAAAAATTGTAAAGAATTATATTATATTAAGTAATAGATCTTATAATTTATTGGATATGTTATATTACGATATTATATAATATATTTATTATTTTACAAATATAAATTTAGACCTAATACACGTGTTTTAATACCTACTTCAGATAAAGATATCATATATCATCAGCATCAAAGTTATATTTTTCTCTATTCATTGTAGCTAAAGACAGATTCAATGTAGCTATAAACGTAAAAAAAAGACAATTAAAAAAAAAGTGCGTGGGTACAAAGTACACATGTCAGAAGTGAAACTTCTTTGGTAAACAAATTTTTAAGTCTTATTCATAGATATTTATACAAATCTTAAACTAGATTTCCGAAACTTAATACAAATTATAAATTTAATTATTAATTGTTTTGCATAAAATATAAAATACTAATAGTTTATAACTTCTCATTACGAAAGTTTAATTTTAAAAATAGAATTTATAAAATATAAAATACTAATATTTTATCAATTCTCTTTACGAAAATTTTAATTTTAAAAATAGAATTTATAAAATATAAAATACTAATATTTTATCAATTCTCTTTACTAAAGTTTAATTCCTTTTTTTTCTGAGAACAGTGTCTAACAAAATATCTTGGGGGCCTCATAGCCTAGCGGTCTTATTAAGGGGCAGCTAGGTGAGGGGTACCGGGTTCTATTCCCGGTTCGAGGGCAAGTTTTAATTTAATTTAAATTTGTTTTCGACCTTTGGGAGGGTTGTGCGGTACCGGGCGAGTGCCTAAACCGTACACGGAGGACATGGTCGAATTTCTTAGGCAAAAAGCACGAATTATAAAAATCTTATACTTGACGCTGCCTAATGCACAAACCGTGCCAGAGCCATAAAAAAAAACAAAATATCTAAACGAGATACGATATTATGTCATAAGATAAAAATGTTTTCAAAAATTTTATTGTACACAAAAATAATATTAATTATATTTTTCCTACGTACGTAATGCTTTAAAATATTTTTGAAGTTATACTTCTTTAGGCGCGTTATGAAAAATTTATGAGAGTGAAATTTTACAATGCGCGCGCACCCGTGACACAAAATTAGGAGTGTGATTATAGCGTGCGCGAGCGAGATAGGAATAAGACAATCTACAAGTAAAAAGAAATAGAATTTGCGTGAAGTTCGTATGCCAACAATTTTGAATGACCATAATGACATTTGTCATTTACCTTTTAAACAAATAAAGGTGTTTTAATTATTTTTTCAAAGAAATTTAGCGATGCTTTTTGAATTATAATCAGAAGTGATTTAAATTGAATATTTAAACCAATACTAATTAATATTTGTGAAAAAACTGTGCTCATCAACCTTCCTAAGTGCTTCAATACAATTGAGGTTAACTATCCGTATGTATTATTATTATTATCGAGTAATGTTTTGATTAAAAAATTAACCACATTGTTTAATCAAAACATGTAATTTTTCTGATTTTATCTAGAAAATATAAGGAAAAGAGACAAAAAACAATTGATGAATCAGTGTAACTGCACTAAATTGAATACAAAAAAAGAGTTTTCATCTTATCGCTGTGAAACATCAAAAACTGGAGGTGGAACAAAGCCAAACTATTTTTAATATTGCCAAAGAAGTATAACTTCTTACGCGCGTACATAAGTACACGGACCCTTTTTTTTTTAATTATTAAAGTACAATGTGTCCCGACCAAGGAGGTTTCAATTCAATTTAAGTACACATAATCTGTGGTGAGCGCGCTGCGCGCGCAACGCGCTGGTTCCGAGCCAATAGACCAATAACAGACTTTTTTCATTGGCGCTATTTCGTACATACGAATTTGAGTAATATTTTGTTGGATAAAACTTTAGCAGCAAAAATGTCAAGCAAAACCGACGATACCGATGAAAATTGACATTCTAGAAACAGCTACAAAACTGACGAATAGTGTTTTGCCAGAAAATCAAGAAAAGCGTAGGTACGACAAAATGTGTTACCAAGACTTTATGACTTGGAAACCTATAGCCATGAGTTTAAATAAAGTAGTGTGTGCAACTGCATGTAATTAGGTATTAAAACACTCGTGTAATCTTATCTTATCAATAAACTACACTCATGATTTAATACCCTCTATTATGACAGTTGCATAAACTAAGTACTATTAATACATTGAAAGTTTTGTTATAACGCATTATCTAGTTAAATAAAGTTCATTTAAATGTCATTTTTTTATTTTAGCATGCAACTTATACATATTCATATTTACTATTTAATTCACGTCTATTGGTTGGAGTTCAATAGACATATGAGTTACAAGAGGCTTATGATAGCTAAAGTATGATACAACTATTCTTGTAGAACATTGTAGAAACGTACAAATACAGCAACAATAGTTGTATAAATTTAAATGTTGACAATAGCTAACTTCAGGGGTGGGTTTTTTGTGCGCGCGCATCGTAAAAATGTACTCTCATTTTTCCCTAACGCGCCAAAAGAAGTATAACTTAAAAAACTTTATTGAGGTGAACAAAAACATTCTAAGCTGAAGAAGCTGAATGGCGAACTTGTTAACTTGACGTCTGTTTCTTTGCTAATTTGATTCGTTGCTTTCGTACTGTTGACAATAACATTTCCTCCGTTTCCAGAGCTATTTCTAGAGGAAGTTGGCGTAACTGTTCAGCTATAGTTTGTCCAAAAAGATCAAATTCATCATTAGTATTGGAAAAGTGCTGCGTTGCTTTTTCTAATACATCTACTGCCTTCGGTAGGGGACCTTTTATTTTTCTTTTATTTCTTGATGGTACGGTAAAATATTGGCTCTCGGATTCTGTAGAAGTTGCCTGGGTATTTGGTGCCTGAAACAATAAATTTAATTTAGTATATAAATTTTTGAAGTTATACCTACTTCTTCTGGCGCGTTAGGGAAAAAACACAACAAACGTCACAAAAAACCGACACCCTATAAAAATGTCCATTTTATTAATTATGTAGAAATATTTTTTTTTATATTAATTAAATAAATAAAGTTAATTAAACTAGATAATGCGTTATAGTAAAACTTTCAATGTATAAAATACCTTTTTTCTATTGTTAGTGTCGTTTTTTCTACAAATATAGAATACATTTTTTGAAAAGATTTTTATCAATTTTTTTTAATTTGTTTGATTAGTTTAATCGACGACTTTCTGGTGTCATAAGATATTCTGTTAGGGGAAAGCTTGATCTCCCAACAAAACCATTCCTTCAGGAGCGTTCAGTAAATGTTCCTCCATTATTTAACTAATTAAGTTTATTTAAATATCACAAAAAAAATATTTCTACATAATTAAAGAATTTTTTTATTTTAGCATGCAACTTAAACATATATTTACTATTTAATTCACGTCCATCGGTTGGAGTTCAGAAGACATGTGAGGCTTATGACAGCTAAAGTATGATACAAATATTGTTGTAAAAACATTGTCTATATATCGTACAAATACAGCATCAACAGTTGTATAAACTTAAATGTTGACTATAGCTAACTTCAGGGTGTCGGTTTTTGTGACGGTGTGCGGGCGCATCGTTAAAATTACTCTCATCATTTTTCTCTAACGCGCCAATAGAAGTATAAGTTCAAAAAATTTTAACTACAGATTAAGCAGAGCTCGAAGAACTATAGACTATACATTTCCTGTCCTAGTTAGTAAATTTCGGATATTCGAGATGAAGAAAATCCAGACACTGGAGAAGTAGTGGAAGGTACATGGCGGTAACCCACAGAGCTTTTTCCTCACTCCGTTAGGTAGATTCATTCTAGAAATGCAACCCTCATAAGACAAGGTTTTACTGACTACTACTACATGGGCCTATAGAATGGCAAGAGAGAATTATTTTGTAAAGCAAGGAGGCGAAAGCGAAACATCAATTGTATAATAGTCTATATAATAAATTATCCTTACCACATTTTCTGTTTTTATTTTATAGCTGTCAATATTTTTCAAAAAATCCAAATGAGACAGCCAAGGAATTTTAGTAATATACAGTTTATTAGTTCCCATACCCGTGGTACGAGATTTTTTTGCCTTTAACAATTCATTGTTGTAAGTATTTCGTAGGGAGCGTATTTTACCAACAACTTCTTTGACATTTTGCATGTCCATAGTTTCCATAATTGATTTGTAAGCCGCATCTCGGACATCCCTAAGTTTATATTGTGGGTGATTCGGGTCCCAGAGACACTCTTTTCGCTGATATTCATTAATGAATTGTATATTTTTATCTGCACTCCATCGTTGGTTTGCCATTTTGGCGAAAGCGCGCGCAAATTACACACGTCCTCACAGCACAGGCGCTTTCGCGACACTAGTTTCACGTCACATCTCCATAATGAAATTAGTTGCATTAAACTAATTTCACCAAAAAATCGCGCCAGGCACGAAACTCATTTGCATACATGAAATTAATGCATGCAATTACGAAAATATTAAATTACAAGTGAAACTGTTGGTCACGAAATTAATTTCATGCCACTAATGTAATTCCTGCCTTAGGCTGCGTCCCCAGTAGGCAAACAGTTAGCGGCTGACTGAGTGAGCCGCAAATTTGCAGCGAACTGAAATTTGAGTTAGCTGCAGACTCAAATCAATTTTCGTGCGTCGCAAGCAAAATGTTAAGAGTTAGCCGCTTATTTTGCCGACCGACTGAATTATCACTTTACTTTTGTTGTACGAAGGGAGTGGTTGTGTTGGTCACGATGGATATTTTTGAAGTAATTGGTATCTTAGAACCGGTTTTGGTGGGAGTCGGCCGCTCACTAAAATAGTCAGCGCGCGTAACGCTGCAAACTGCCTACAGTGAGCGCAAAACTAGCTCTGCTATTTCAAATGGAGTGTTCACAGTTTACACTCCATTTGAAATATATGGAAGGGCGTGTTAAACCGATACGCCGCTAACTCAGTCAGCCGCTAACTGTTTGCCTACTGGGGACGCAGCCTTAAGCTTAGGTTTCCTAGAAAAGCGGTGCCGTCATCCAACGTTACATTACGGCCGTTAAATAACGGCACCGCTTTTCTAGGAAACCTAAGCTTTAGTTAGAAAACAGAAACGTAGTATAAAGTAAATTTATAATGACAGTATTCTGTCTTTCTTCGTTATGATATTCATCTGGCTATCTATGGGCTGTGTCACTAGACGTCAGATGAGACACCTACCCATAAGCTAGCTAGTAATATATAAAAAGTAAAACAAAAATTTTATATATTACTAGCTGCCCCCGCGAACTTCGTTTCTTCTTAATGTGATTTTACTTGGCCTACCTTTTTCTCTATATTATAAACCTCAAAGTTCCATTCATAAGATTTTAATTAAAAAATAAGGGTTGGTGATAGAGGGGTGAAAATTTAGGGTTACTTATTGGTTATATACATATTTTAATGGCACATTATAAAGAAATTGTGACACGATAATTTTATATAAGTATTAGATTTATAATATTTTTGGTAAGAATAACGCCATCTCATGGCGAAGTGCAAAACTAAGATTTCCATTACCAAGCACACAACAAGACTTACAACTTCGTTTGTACAACGCGCCATCTATTGTGATACATGTGTAAACATCTTAAACTTTTTACGTTTATAAATGAACTGCATATGACTACTGGGGCGTTCCCACGAAGCGTTAATCACGACAGTCAACTACGCTAGTCAACTTTCGTTCGTGACACTCACGAAAGTGTGAATTGATGAAACGTTCACATGGTTGGGGGATTTCGTACCGTTCACGCTTCGTGTTTCGACTTTTTTATCGAAACATCGATCATGAATGATCTGTTTGTTGAAAGTTGTGCTGTTTTAAGTTCGTTTTTTGCTACTATCATAGCAAAAAAGATTTTTTTTTTTAATGATTTTTATACAATACTCATAGAAGATAAGATAAGATATTATAAATATTAAATAGTTACTAAAAACAACGCATTCATACTAATTTAAATTTAAATTAATACTCGTATGTCGTTTTTAAATTATTTAAAATTATTTTTCATAAATAAACGATATATATTTTTATAAAAAAAGGTATTTACCAGATTCGATTGTGTGGGTCGCTGTTGAACAAACGGACGAATAAAACTGTTCATCTGATCAAACCAAAATACTTTTGGCTTGTATATGTCATCTGTACCTTTTCCTGACCTTGCACTGTCTGATATTTTTTTTAACTCCTGACAGAAAGAGCTTCTTAAATTTTTGAATTTTGATATAACTTCTTTTGGTCCAAATCCAGGAATATTTAATTCATGACTTATTCTCTTAGCTGCGGCGGCACGTAAATCTCTATCACGGTATTCCTCCAAACTTGGATCATATAACACCTTTTCCATAGAATATAACTCCAAAAAACGCGTAGTTTCACTGTCGTTAAACTTAATTCCACGTTGTTGTGACGACATCTTGGCTTCACGAACGGTATATCACGACTGAAAATCAAACACGTTTGATCTATCCACGCTTGAGTCGTGCGCCGTTCCTCACGAAAGCAAGTTTAACGCCTATGCGTTCACACAGAAGTGTATTTCACGAAAGCGTGGTTGACTGTCGTGATTAACGCTTCGTGGGAACGCCCCTTAAGATTTATAAAATAATTTGAATGAGAAACCAAACCAAATGATGTAATTTCTATTGGTACGTTCGTTAATATTAACTTTCAACTTTCATGAAATAGGAAAATGTCAAATTAATAGAATTACATAATAATAATACCTGAATATTATAAATGAAAAGAAAATAATATAGAAATTTTACCTTAAAATAAAATTTGTATTATGTGTTCCGTTTGACGTCCGAGGTCCATTAGGAGAGTACATCGTTTCCTTTTCCGCCCAAATCGCTAGTATCCGACCTTTTCCCACCACGTGACACGCCGCCAGCGCCCAGCGTTTGAAACTGGAACTAACTTTTTATCGCGCTAAAGCAAGCCGCCAGAGTTCTTGTTCATTGTTGCGTCGTTTTTCGTCTTGCACAGTCGCTAGTGCACACTTAAAAACGAATCAGTATATTCAAAGTTATATCGACCTAAAATTTATTTTGAAAGTGGAAATAATTATTTCGTAAAATGGTTAACTCGGTTTTCACGTTAAAAATATAAAATGGCTAATGAAAGTGCTAAAATCGGTGTAAATGTGTTGGCCACGCGGTCAAACGTGCCTCACCCGCGCTTTACAAAGCCGTCTCATATCACGGGAGATATTGTCTCTGCAAGTTCGGACAAGCCGAGTTCTTCGCAAAGTTCGAGTACGAGTGAAGAGGATGAAGAACCGCCGCCACAACAAAGAAGAAATAACCACGTGCGCAGTAATTCACGTGATTATTCTCAGGTTTGAGCAATTGTCGCAGTAATTGGTGAGTCACCTTAATAATACTTTTTTACAATTATGCTGCGTCCTCTAGCATGTTACATAAAGTGACCGAATCTAATAATGCAAACCTACACGACCCTTTTTTGAACCATGCGGCTGTAGTTAATGATATTGCTCAGTTAGACGTGTCGGTTCAAGAACCTCCGAGTTATAAATTATAATATTAATTTCAATGCAGAGGTTTTTACATTTCTGATTTGAACTGTGTACGTTATATTGATATACAAAAGAAATACGTTGCTTTTACCGATTTAAAAATGAGTTTATCAATAAAGCGTTACGTAGCGTTATAGTGGTCTTCAGTCGAACGCGGTTCTTAATTTAAATTCTATACATAATAAATTGCAAGAATGTTTTGGTCAAACTTTAAAAACATGTTATAGAAGATTTAGATAAAATTCCCACCCCTCTTCGGAGTACATGTTTAATCCTGAAAAATTATCTAAATATTTACAAAATGTTGGTAGTATTGTCAAAATTGACAGAATTCGCGGTGGTACCCGCGAATTAATAAATAAAACGTATGCGTGATTTAATCTAAAACAATACGCGTTAAATCACGCATACGTTTTTAATCGCCTGTAGCTTCAACGTCTCAGGTTAGTCAAAAGCCCTTTCTTGGTAACCGATAAAACTCAAAACAAGGACAACAGAGTCACAACTTCGATGATCACGAAAATAAAAAATGTGAGCCGTCACGGGACGCCTGGCAGATGTGAAACATCGACATTATTTTGTTAAAATAAGGATGACTATTTATTGAATAAACATTTATTTTCATTTAAATACAAAAATTTACGAATTTATTTCAAAACGTGACTACTTAATTCGTTTAATCAGTGACTTCGAAATACACCGTACACACTACTGCATATAGACTGTATATATACCATCATATAGCGTGGCATCGCCACGGCATGTGTCGCCACACCAGAAATCGGTTTTACGTGCGGTTATAGATGTTTCACATCAAAAGGGGGACGCAAATATAACAATCCAAATAAATACCAACATAAGTGACTCGATGGGCTTTTCGGGCGGATGTTTAAGGAACTATCACAAAAATTGGGTGAAATTAAAACCTCCTTTTTCCATTCTAAAATTAATAACCTCCGCTCGAATAACTTTCAATCGAAAACCGCTATTAGTACTGTCCTAAATCCTAAAAAAGTTGCAAACACCTGTTTCAACTTCGATTTCCTTGGAAATACATACCATGATTCGAGACCATATACTGGAGCCAGCACCGCTGACTCCGTCGTTCATATCTATCATATCATATCGTTCATATTTCATAATAACGAAGAACGGAAAAATTGAGTCATTTTCAGCCTAAAATCTTTAAATCGGTTCATGAAACCAGAACCTTTTCATCTGTTTCATCACCACCAAATGCCAAATTTCCTACAAAAAGGCGATTGGATGGTGAAGCTGGATCACAGGCAATCCTACTATCATGTACCGATTTCCCTCGAACATCGTTGCTTTCTGCGTATCAGTTATGAGGGAAGGCTCCTTCAAATGACTTGTCTACATATTGGGTTGGCCATAGCTCCGAAAATGTTTGCTTCGGTGACAAATTGGACAGCCGAGCTATAACGCCGTCAGGGCTTAAGAGTGATCGTTTTCTTGAACGATTACTTACTGGTCCACCAGGACAGAACAATTCTTAACTCCCAGGTTCTCGTAGCCATGACCTTCTTGAAAAACCTGGGCTGGACCATAAATCTAGAGAAGTCGATATGCACTCCAACGAGGTCGATCGATTTTCTGGGTATCACGTGGGACACACTATCAAATGCAAAGTCCTTACCCGTAAAAAGTTATCAAAATTCGTCAGTGCCTGATAACACGCTTGTCAGCCGGCAAATTGGACCCTCAAGCAGGCCCAACGCCTCTTAGGGTATCTCAATTTTGCGACCTTCATCACCCACCGGGGAAGGTTGCGTTGCCGAACGCTGCAGCGACACAGCAATGCATTTAGGAGAGCTCCGCTTTGCCCGAGTTCTCTTGCAGAGGTGAATCAGGACATGGTATGGTGTTTGCACAACCTCAGTCACAAAACACCGATTCACTTCAAAACAAGGCATGTGAATTACATTGTATCCGATGCCTCGGATCTACAATGGGGAGCGCTAATCAACAACAAACCCCTGAATGGTTCTTGGACTCAAAGTCAGATTGAGTGGCATTAAAGAACTCGATGGTAATCCTGCAAAGCGACAGCAAAACTGTTGTATCGTACATAAAAAACGAAGGAGGAACAAGGTCCCAAATGCTGTTAAAATTGACAAAAGATCTTCTGGCACTGACGGACAGTTTGAATATTGTACTTATCCCTCACTTCCTTGCCGGGAATGTACAACGTGGAAGCCGATTACCTCTCGCGCAATCGCAGGGGCACCGAATGGCATCTCTTGAAAGAGGCAACCACGGACATATTCAGACGATGGGGAACCCCCGAAATAGATCTTTTCGCGTCACGAGAGGCTCTTGTCGTGGCAAGTTATGTGTCGCTAGACTTATTAGACTCCAACACTTGCTTCACCACGCCTTCAGTAAATGCTGGCGATACGATCTAGCGTGGATATTTCCACCGCCAGTGCCATTTCTACCTCGAGTGCTGCACCATCTCAACTTATCCCAAGGGAAGTTCATAATAATAGCACCCAGGTGGAGGAAGCCTTTTGGCGCCCGGATTTGAAAGGCCGAGCACTTGCACCCTCGCTACCAATACGGAATCTAAACAAAACCCTGATAAATACCGTAACGGGTCAACCTCCTCCTCAAGGGCAGAAATTACAGTTGGAAGCGTGGCTGATTTTGGCTGGAAAACACGAGACGAAAAACAACTTATTTCGTCGTGTTTGAGAGCTTCAACAAGGAAAACATATGCCCCTATTTGGTATAAATGGGTAAATTGGTGTCAACATAGTAATATAAACTGTCGATTCCCGGCTCCTCCTGATGTAGCTAGATACTTAGCAAACCTATTTATAAAGGATCATCTGGCATAGATATCTATATATCTAAATCTATTATCTAAATAGATCTATATCTATTTTAGTACACAAATCTGACATAGCATCAATTTGTGAGGCTCTAAGCGATGTTAAAATTTTATCTAATAAATTAGTAAAACATATCCTTAAAGCGCTAGCTCAATCCTATATATAGCTAGACCAATCGCGCAGTAATTGCCAGTATGGGAAGCGGGGAAAGTTATAAATTATTTGAAAAGCCTAAAACTAGATGAGCAAAATTTATTTCATAGCTCGAAACACACAGCCACAATAATTTTATTGGCTTCTGGGCATAGAGTTCATGATTTGACTCTCTTGCTTTTTCGAGCCTCAGCATTTTATTGATAACGGTGATTCCATCACTTTGCATCCGGGTTTCGGTTTTAAAACAGATACAGGAACGTATAGACAGTCAAGTTGGACGTTTTTATCGTGCCCGGAGAAGCATCTAAATCCCTTATTTTGGCTTAGGACACTCATAACTGTCTCTAATAATAGATGAGGCTCCTTGACAAATTTGTTTATTACAACCAGATATCCTGTAAGACCAGCTACGCCCACAATTTTTGAGAGCTGGGTCAAGAAACCCCTTTTGGAATCAGGTATCGAAGCATCTCGGGGTACTTGATCAGCTGTTGCTTCGCTAAATTCATGCGTCATGAAAGTACATTAAAGATATATTATTTTCGAAATCTAGATAATAATAGTCAGAATGCTGAGACTCATCAGAAGTCTCTTTCTCAGTACTTTCGGCTGCTTAATGATTAGCCAAGTATTCTACTTCATTATAAACAATAAAATTTTTGTTATTATGTTTATTAAATGATGCTAAAGCTTAGGCTTTAATTAGCTTGTATTGTTTATTTCATCATGATTCTATCGGATATAAATAATTCAAATCACATTGTTGCGTTTTTTAGTTATTAATATATAACTTTACAAGCCACCAGGAGATAACAAACACGTCTCTCATAATGGACCTCGGACGTCAAACGGAACACATAATATAGAAATTTTACCTAAAAATAAAATTTGTATTATGTTTCCTAAGACGTCCGAGGTCCAAACAAGCTCTTCCTGGTTCTCTTATTATGAGACAAACAATGAACAAGAACTCTGGCGGCTTGCTTTAGCGCGGTAAAAGTTAGTTCCAGTTTCAACCGCTGGGCGCTGGCGGCGGTGGCGCGTGGAGGGAAATAAGGGTCGGATACTAGCGATTTGGGCAGAAACGGAAACGATGTACTCTCATAATGGACCTCGGACGTCAAACGGAACACATAATAAAACTAGAGCCTGGCTAATGAAAGTTGATACTGAAAAAGCGCGGCAAATTTAAAAAATATCAGCATGGCAGCCAAAAAGGAAAGTTGGAACAACTCACTTTGATACTTTGACATTCAATTTTATTTTACTAGTGGATGCTTTATGTTAACGTAAAATTGTAAACACCGTTAGATTGTAATCTATCTCGCGAGATTATAAACTGTCGAAAGATTGTGAACCTCAGCTTACTGCTTACAATTTAACGTATTATTATTCGGTAGATCGTACTACACTAACTTAGTTATCATTCAAACTTCTTTGGTCAACACGAAATAGATTACAATCTAACGGTGTTTACAATTTTACGGTGACACTTTCAAATTTTTAGGCTTATAGGTTTTGTGGACATAAGTTTCATCTAAGTAGATTATTGGCTTGCCTTCTGCACGTTTCGATGCAATGGTACGCAAAAAGCGATGTCTCCATGCAGCTATATCATATCGTTCAATTAATAATGAACGTTCATTTTTGTTTTTCTTAAATTCATAACCGTTGGCTAATAATCTCAAGACTATCTGTAAAATAACAATAACCTTATCTAAAGTAACTAAAACTAATATGTACTTATTTAAAATAAAAAAATATCAAGACATTTTGACCATACTAACTTTAGTGTTGTCATATTAAAAGTTTGCAAAAAAATCCAGTATCTATAGGTCTACCAGGATCTGATGGCAAAAAGGGAAAAAAGAAATTGACGCTAGCAATACTGGGGAAATTGGAGTAAAACGTTTTGATACTTTTTTTTTCCTTATAGCGGCTGATTCTGTGTGTGATATATGCAAAATATATAAAAATTTATCCAATGATATTGATATTTTTGGAAATGTGGCGAATGTGGGGTTTGAAATTTAGATGAAAACTCCAATTACTCTGTTCATGAGTTTATTAATTAATTAAGAACTTTAAAATGGTTCCAAATACTGCACATCCATAAAAAAGTCTTCAACGCAGTATTTATAATAAACCTTTCCTCCTGCATCTCAATTAACCGATCTTGTTCTATGAACTTATTTTAAATTTTTATTACATGTTCACAAGATTTTCGCTATTCATCGATCCCTATTTGAGAGAAAGAAACAATGTAAAACTCATTTATCTTGTTTCTGATCAATTCTAAATCAAAACTATCCAAGTTTATTTGTGGTATAAGAAACCCCTGAAATAAACCAAAATTTAGTATAAGTACATAATATAATACACACGAAGAATCCCATAAACCAAAGTATCAAGACGTGTCATTCCTACTAACCAGTCAACGCTTGCACATGGCTCAATATCGATGATTGTGTATGTTCTGCATCTTGTTGATCAAGTATTCTTTGATAAACATTGAAAACAATATGTCTTGCTTGCGATCGAAGAGGTTTCTTCGACATTTTCATCACTTTTTAAAGGAAATTTGAAGCCAAACCAAAAACAATTCCTCGAAATTTCAGTTGACAGATGAAATTTTTCTTTTATTGCCATATGAAAATCGCTAATTTAAAAAAAAAATTGCCATCAGATTCTGGTAGACCTATACTTTCGTTAGCCCGACTCTAGCCACTCTTGTGAACTCGGCCAGAGTACAAACCAATAAAACTGTCTCTATACAAAGTGGTGCCTCACTAAGTTAGGTTTAAAGATATTTATTTTCATAACAGACAATGGTCACTTACATGAGAACTTATATACTTAAGATACAATTTATCACGTCGTGGGTTATTGAAGAGCTTCACGGATGAATTAGCGAATAGTATTTCGCTTCATAGTCCACAACATCGCATTCCACTCCAAGTTCATTGTTACTAAAGCATACAATAATTTCATGATTGTACTGATATATAATGCAAAGAAGAGTCAAATAAATAAATAGATACTTTTATTACACTTATATATTTTATAAATTAAAAATGTTATTAAGCCTGTTTAAAAAATAACAACGTTTTAGTCATTGTCTGTTGTCATATAGATACTTGACATTGATAGTTCATAGTTGTCATATGTCAATCATCATTTCTCATTATCAAATCATAATTCATAAATTGTTTTATGTTTTCTTTGTTCGAACTTCGGGTGACGAACTTTTGTGTGTACATATTTAAATTATTGTTGACCAAAAGATAAAGTTATTTTTCTGACGTTTTCTTAAGTAATTGCGACAATGGGTGCCGTATTAGGCCTTTGTTCTGCAGCCCAGGTAAGTTGCCCTATTTAAAACCTATACATAGTATTGAGTCCGATTGGTTCAGGGACATCGTTATTGATTTTCTTCATAATTTACAAATACCTTAATTAACTCAGTATCTAACGTAGCTAGCTACGTACTTAACAATATATTTATTATGTACGTAAAAATTACATTACACACTTACACAAGGTATAAATGACTCATTACGTTCAACGTATCTTCATTACGGCAAACTGTTTTGACTTTCTCATTCTTTATTATAGTTTCCTTATCCTGAAGAAGAGAACTCAACAAAAATAATCCAGCAATTAATGTCTATTGTTTTTTAGGAATATATATCTTACAATATCAAATTATTAGTAATGTATTTTGGTACTTTGGTTTTCGTAAAAGAAAAATAAATAAACAAGTTGTGTAGCTGTATAAGCTCTTCTATTTTATTAACAGCTGGCCTGTTGCTGTGGAAGTGCAGCATGCTCCTTGTGCTGTTCAGCATGTCCTTCTTGTGCAAATTCCACATCTACACGTCTCATGTATACACTTATGTTACTACTGATGACAGTGGTTGCATGTATCACACTTGCTCCGGGCTTACATGATGTTATGAAAAAGGTAATTGCAGCTTCTGCAAACAAAATTTTGAATTAGTTTTTTTAGAAGTAAAAAATAGAGAATAGAAATAGGATATTAATGTATGAAATAACATTCTAACATTTTATATTATAATGAAGAAAAGTTTGTGAGATTTTTCATATATTACCTCTTGAATAACTAAAAAAAAAATCAAAATTACTTGTATCCTTTCTCACCATACTGTTTTTCTCATAGTATTGTAGGAACAACATAGAAAAAATATTAACAAATAATTGAACTTGTTTGCTAGTTACTAAATTGATTGCGTTTCAGGTGCCATTCTGTGAAAATTCAACTGGTATAATACCTGGTAACATTAAATTTGATTGCGATCAAGCTGTTGGATATCTTGCCGTTTATAGGTATAAACATTTTAGTGAATCAAAAGTGACAGTGTAAAGAAATTTTGTAACAACATGGCGAACCAAGCCAATTTTGACTAACATGTAAATTTGATTCCTTGTAAAAATTGTTTCATGTTTGTACTCGCAATAGATGTGTATGTGTCTGCCTCTATAAGTGTTACTGGACCGTTTAAATATGCACACAACGGGGCATAGGGCTCATTTCTGTATCTGTAGTTATTAACTATTAAGTTGCTTGACAAATTGATTCTAATGATTTGTATTAATATTGGCAAGATTGGGTTTAGAGACTACATGTCTGGCTAAGTCAAATCTACAATTACAAAATTTTGACACATACATATATCAATCAAAAGCTGTTACCTTAAGCATTTCATGCACATTATTATATTTAAATTTAAATAACTAGGAGTTGCTAGTAGACATATAAATTAATTGAATTCCATTCTATTCCAGGATTTGTTTTGCAACATGCCTATTTTTCATATTAATGATGCTTTTGACAATGGGTGTCAAATCTTCTAAGGATCCTAGAGCTGGTATACAAAATGGGTAATTATATATAGAGCGATAATTGTTAGAAATTAAATGGTTGAATGTTGTCTCGGAACTACTGGTTCAAATTGAAAAGTTCCTTTTATGTCGGCTATAGACCGTAATAACCAAATTAAGGTGGATTTAATTACAGGGTATATCTAGTTATAACAATCTTATTAGTTATTACAATCTTATTAGTTATTACAAATTAATATTTTTACTTAATTAGTATTTGTTATGTGTGCGTAATGTATCTTCTTAAGCCCGACACAAAAGCCTTGTAATAAGATTGACGTATCAGTGTCTGCAAAGTGACTCCTAAACGAATAGACCGAATATGATGTGGTTTTATAAAGATCTGTTCCAGCTTATATTTTTATAATGGGTACTTCTTTTTAAACATGTTAATAGACCAAGAATTTCACCTAACGTTAAGTGCCACAGTCCATGAACACTTCCAGGAGGGTCGCGAATACGTTGCCGACCTTTAAAAACAGCACAGTCTTTTCTTCTTTAGGCTTTTGTGTTCTCTCATAAGTGCATGTTGTTTTAGTCTAACACTCTTTTCAAATATTTCAGATTCTGGGGTATTAAATACCTGATTGTGATAGCTGGAATCATAGGAGCATTCTTTATACCGGAAGGTCAATTCGCATCGACATGGATGGTGTTTGGAATGATCGGAGGCTTCTGTTTCATCATCATTCAATTGATACTTATCATTGATTTCGCACATTCCTGGGCTGAGAGATGGGTTTGTAAGTATTAAATTTTTTTTTAAATATATATCTGTAAATAGTTTTGATCAAGTTGTGCACCAACTATCGGATGAGGTAAATAAGACCCAGGTCAGGCACTGCTGATCAGCGGCCGTAAGTATTATTACGTAAGCAGATTTACTCCAATTTATATCCTCTTGCTAGCAAAAGTAAGCAAAGCTCTCAAAAATAATCTAATATATAAAATTCTCGTGTCACAGTTTTCGTTGCCATACTCCTCCAAAACGGCTCGACCGATTCTTATGAAATTTTGTGTGCATATTGGGTATGTCTGAGAATCGGACAACATCTATTTTTCATCCCCCTAAATGTTAAGGGTAGTCCACCCCTATATATTTTTTTTATTTTTAGATATTTTTTTCTGTTTTTTTATGATACAGCATTAAAAAATACATACAAACCCCTAACTTTCACCCCTCTACGATCAACCCCTATTTTTTTATTATAAATGATATATATGGCAAAAAGAACGTTTGCCCGGTCAGCTAGTAGTATATAAATGTATGATTTTTTTATAGGAAAGTGGGTAATATGTCTAAAAAAGTAAATAATCATCATCTTAAAAATTCAATTTGTAACAAAATAATTCATTATTTGGGTAAACAGTTTGTACATAATATTAATACAGATATATACCCTTTTTGTAATTTTAAACAAAATTGATTTCATTGAATATCTTAGAGAATATTATAATAGCTCCGTAACAAAAACTAATAAAACTTGGTATCTGTTCTTAAGATATTAAATTCATCATTCACTAACATGAGAAAATATAACTAGTAATAGAATATAGTACATAGGCTAGCTTATAAACCAACGACCATTATATTAGGTCCTTACATATGAAATTGGCGTATTTCGTACTGGCCACTTTAATCACGATGTTCTCCTCTTAATTAATTAATTAAGGTAAGGAATTCCAAATTCAAATTTGTACAGCTATTTACTCATGTATTTGTGCTTCGATGACCGTCATTCATTTGTTTTTTTCTGTTTGCGTCACTCATTTTACAAAATGGAACCCAACGGACGGACGGACGGTCTGAGACCCAAGTTGATAATGAAGTATTGAAGGCTATTGTGGAAGCGGATCCATCGCAAACCACGTCCGAGTCAGCTGCAAGCTGCGGTGTTAGTGATAAAACTGTTTTAATTCACTTGAAGCAAATTGGGAAGATTAAAAAGCTTGAAAGATGGGTACCTCACGAATTGACTGAAGCAAACCGGCAAACGCGCGTCGACTGCTGCGTTACATTACTGAACCGGCACAATAATGAAGCTATTTTAAACCGAATCATTACCTGTGATGAAAAATGGATTCTTTACGATAATCGGAAGCGCTCAGCGCAATGGTTGAATCCTGCCCCAAGCGAAAATTAACCCCAAAAAAGTTACTTGTAAGCGTTTGGTGGACTAGTGCCGGTATTGTTCATTGCAGTTTTCTCAAATCTGGCCAGACTATTACGGCTGATGTCTATTGTCAGCAATTGCAAACCATGATGGAAAAGCTAGCGGCTAAACAACCTAGGCTGGTCAATCGCTCCACGCCACTGCTACTTCACGACAACGCTAGACCACACACTGCACAACAGATGGCTACCAAATTGGAAGAGCTTCAATTGGAATGTCCAAGACATCCTCCGTACTCACCGGACCTTGCTCCAACAGATTACCATTTTTTTCGAAATTTGGACAACTTCTTGCAAGGGAAAAAATTTAACTCTGATGGGGCAGTCCAAACCGCCTTCACAGATTTTATTGATTCCCGTCAGACTGGTTTTTTTAGTAAAGGGATCAATTAACTACCTATGAGATGGCAAAAGTGCATAGAAAACAATGGTTCATACTTATATTAATTAAATATATTATTTTTAAAAATATTCGACTTTTTGTTCCTCCCATACAAAACGCCAATTTCATATGTAAGGACCTAATATATATATATATAGTAGGCAAGATTATACAATCAGAGAAATTATGACGGTAGTGTAAAATTTTATGATTTGTATAATGCGCAAACAGAATAAATCCAATTGGTACATATGTAATCGCGTTCATATATAATATATGAAAAGTATTATGGATTAAGATATTTATTTCTCATTGAGACAAGAAACTATACTAATACAATAGTACATTACGCTTATAAGAAAATAGCAGGTAAGAAACAGAAGACTGATTAGATAAATAACCCAAAAAAGAAAAGAAAGAATACAATATTTTTTTATTATCTTACGATTATTAAACTAAACCCTTACACGATTAGTTATGCTTTTTTGTTTTATACGAATTATTTTTTATTTTTTACGAACGGTTAATAAAAGTTAAATATTATATAATAAAGTAATTAGTTTCTGCTTCACCCGCATTAATTTGTCTATTGTCTGTGCATTAATAAATGCATTGTCTATGCATTAATTCGTAACACGGTGTTCTATAACCTAAAGCTTTCGGTAAATAGACTTAAATGCAAAAAGAATATTTTTTTGTTAGACGTGACTATGTGTAGATTGATGTCGTCTATAAAACTGTTGAGCAGTGTTGGCCTAGTGGCTTCAGCGTGTGACTCTCATACCTGAGGTCGTAGGTTCGATCCCCGGCAGTGCACCAATGGACTTTCTGTGTGCGCATTTAACATTTGCTCGAACGGTGAAGGAAAACATCGTGAGGAAACCGACATGTCTTAGACCCAAAAAGTCGACGGCGTGTGTCAGGCACTGGAGGCTGATAGGTGATCAGCCTCCTTGCCTATTAGATTAGAAAATCATCATGAAACAGATTCAGAAATCTGAGGCCAAGACATGAAGAGGTTGCAGCGCCAGTGATTTATTTATTTTATAAAACTGTAGTTCATCACTGCTCTGTTTTATTGCTTTGTAATAATTTTCAGCGAATTACGAGGAAAGCCAATCAAAGGGATGGTACGCGGCTCTCGTTTTGGGAATGCTGGTCTGCTATGCCCTCACCATCACTGGGATTACACTTCTCTTTGTCTTTTACACTAAGGTTAGATTAATAACAATTTTCAATTCTATATGTATTCATAAAAATTCTTCAGAACGTAGTGAATCTATTTTTTATTAAAGACAAAAATCAGAAACTGGTAATGATATTAGCTTTGTCATCTGACAATATCCATACAAATTTGTTTGTGGGTCACACACACCTGTCAAAAACTGACACTGTCTCAGGGCTTGAGAGTCAAGCCCTTGATTGAAGACTGACAATTGTCAAAAGCAATAGGCACAGAACAAGTTTTTTGAAATCAAATATATAATTTAGTACAACGCCATCTAGAGACAGTATTACGTAACTTTGATAATTAATATTTATTTGATTAGGGAGCGTTCAAGTATAACGTTACGATTCGGGGCGGGGATTGAATTACGCGTTATTGTTAATATTATTTTCGACTTTCCAGTACTTTACACCACTTAATGGTAACTTTTAGGTATAAAGAGTCACTGGATGGTCACGAAACGTTTTACTATTGGGTACAGAAAAACGTTACAGCGCGTTACATGGGGAGGGGTAATATATAATCTCCAAAAATTGCGTGACGTAATACTTGAACGCTCCCTTAGGACTTGTAGTAGTGGTACAAATGTTTGTTTTTTGTATTAACATTGGATTTCAACAAACACAAACAATCTTTATTTTATTTAAAAATTCCATTTAAAACCTTTGAAATCAATCCAGACAGACAGATTAAATAAATTAATGTAATCTTTATCCAAATAATTATTATTTTCAATTAATTAATCTTTGCGTGTATTATCCTACTTGACTGAACCGATTTTGATGATTTTATATGTGTGTTCAAGTTTATTGTAAGTGGGGAATAGTTTAATATTAATATTTTTACTTTTTTTTTCAGCCGGATGGATGTGACCTTTCCAAATTCTTCATATCAATCAACCTGATTTTGATGGTAATAGCCAGCGTGGTGTCCATCCTACCATCAGTTCAGGAACACCAACCAGGCTCTGGTCTGCTGCAGTCGTCTGTCGTATCTCTATACGTCATGTATTTGACCTGGTCTGCCCTTTCCAACTCAGCTGGGGAGTGTAACGCCAGTATTTCTGCTACAAATGAGGTATGTTATGAGAGGGACAAAGATGTGAGTTGTCTCGTTCATGTGCCATGCGTGTGATAGGGACAGGAGATGTGAGTTGTCTCGTTCATGTGCCATGAGTGTGAGAGAGACAGGAGATGTGAGTTGTCTCGTTCATGTGCCATTGTTTTGATAGGGACAGTAGATGTGTGTTGTCTCGTTCATGTGCCATTGTTTTGATAGGGACAGTAGATGTGTGTTGTCTCGTGCATGTGCCATGGGTTTGATAGGGACAGGAGATGTGTGCTGTCTCGCTCATGTCTCATGGGTGTAATAGGGACAGGAGATGTGAGTTGTCTCGTTCATGTGCCATGGGTGTGATAGGGACAGGAGATGTGAGTTGTCTCGTTCTTGTCCCGTGGGTGTGATAGGGTCAGGAGATGTGAGTTGTCTCGTTCAAGTCTCATGGGTGTGATAGGGACAGGAGATGTGAGTTGTCTCGTTCAAGTCTCATGGGTGTGATAGGGACAGGAGATGTGAGTTGTCCGGTTCGTGTCCTATGCGTGTGATAGGGACAGGAGATGTGACTTGTCTCGTTCAAGTCTCATTGGTGCGATAGGGTCAGGAGATGTGAGTTGTCTCGTTCAAGTCTCATGGGTGTGATAGGGACAGGAGATGTGAGTTGTCCGGTTCGTGTCCTATGCGTGTGATAGGGACAGGAGATGTGAGTTGTTCATGTTCATGTGCCATGAGTGTGAGAGGGACAAAAGATGAATATTAATTTACTGATTAGATTAATTTGCGAAGTTCTATAAACTAAATAAATAAATATTTATAATTGCATTGGAAAGTTGTGATCAAATTTTGTAATTACTAGTGACAGTGAAAATATAAACAATAAATATTTTATTTTTGATATATTTAATACGATATATTCAAGGATGTGACAACAATGGAAATATAAATAATTTAAAAGCCAAATTTTTTATTACCTGGGCAACGAACCGGCTGATGGCAAAAATAACACTGATTTTGTAAAAATCTTACATTAATCATAATTTTATAGTTATTTAAATAAAAATTTCAAAAATTTGATGATTTTAAAAATTTAACTAACCATGATTCCACGGCAGCTATAAATGTAAATTGTATATCAGCTGGTTCGATTCCCAGGTGTCGCAAAAGTATTAAAAAAAAAATCTAAGATATAAATTTTGTCTATTGATGAACTTTATATATACACTATGTATTTATATATTTAATATTTTAATATGGCAACACAAGGACCCTAAAGAAGTTTGGGTATGTACGGAAGATTCAAAATTCTTTATCATTTAGTTGTTCCCCTATATAATTTCTTATTAAATCACACATGTCAAGAGTTTAGTGTATAGTTAAAAAGGAATGGATTTTCATACAGAGAAAGTCAACCTATACAATTTTAGAACGACTCTTTATATTAAAATATAGTAGCGAAACATTACTTATTTAAATTGCATTCATTATATATGTATTCCTGTATATATCATATGTTGTATACCATTACAGTGTAAACTTTTTATAACGAATTTCAAGGGACCAAGCATTTTTCGTTATAGAGAGTTTTCGTTATAGGAAGGGACGGAAAAAATAACCAAATTTAACCAATTACCTACAATAATTTATAATTTTATTACTATCAATAGGTAAACTATTCTAAACACATAATTACGATACACAAAATTTGCACATACAGTGTAAAACTTTATAACGTTATTAGTTATATCGCAAAACTCTCTATAACGTAAAAATGAGTTAAATTTGTTTGGTTTAACACAAATCCCAATCATTAATTCACTCTTTATAACGCAACAGTAATTCTCTATTTAGAGATCAACAACATACTTAAGTGTAATTGTTTTTATAATCAACTTCCAAAACCTATTGAGATGCCGAAATTTCTAAGAAAGCCACCTGAGGTCATAAACAGCCTTCTCGCCTTTGTTATTGTTAATTGCATTAACACGTGTGCCATTATTCTTAGATTACATTGCCTGTAGGAAATTTTGGTCTCAGTTACTAAACGCACAATCGTCACCTATCTATTATATATCTAATATATATTCTCGTGTCGCGGTGTTTGTAGTTAAACTCCTCCGAAACGGCTTGACCGATTCTTATGAAATTTTGTGTGCATATTGTGTATGTCTGAGAATCGGACAACATCTATTTTTATTCCCCTAAATGTTAAGGGCAGTCCCAATTTATTTTTAAAATATTTTTTTTTTATGATACAGCATTAAAAAATACATACAACCCCTAATTTTCACCCCTGTACGATCAACCCCTATGTTTTATTATAAATGATATACATGGCAAAACGACGTTTGCCAGGACAGCTAGTATATATATATGAATTATTGTAATTGGTTTAATTTGTTTATTTTTTCTCTTCCCTCCGTATAACGAAAAAAATGGTCGGTCCCTTGAAAGTCGTTATAAAGAGTTTACACTGTATGTTGAAATAAATGGTATCAAAACTTTCGCTTCAGCATCGTGTTTTTTTTTTCTAGACATCATTCGACAAGGAGTCTGTGATTGGATTAATAATATGGGTGTGCAGCGTGCTGTATTCGTGCATACGCACCGCATCATCCTCATCAAAGATCACAATGTCCGGACACATTTTGGCTAAGAAAGAAGGTAATGATTTAATTATTCTTTGGGGATTTTACCAGCCGGCACCACCGCTATGTGGAACCAGCTGCCCACTGAAGCATTTCCGAACCAATTCGACTTAGGGTCCTTCAAGAAAAGAGTGAACCAATTCCTAAAAGGCCGGCAGTGCGCTTGCAAGCCTTTTGTCAATGTGTGTCCATGGGCGGGGCGGTATCACTTAAAATCAGGTGAGCCTCCTGCCCGTTTGCCTCCTATTTCGTAAAGGAGTGCATGTTATGACTCATTGGCTTAAGCCCTCGGAACTAAGCGATAAAATTAATGAAACCAGTTCATTCTTTAGTGAATAACTGGACTGGTAATTAAAACTCTAAATCTTTCGCTGCTCTGCTACAATTAGAAGTGCAAAGCAAAATCTTTGAATCAATTATTATGAGTTTTGCTGTATTGTAGTTGTCAAATGTCGCAGCCAAGTAGGTTAATTAGCCGTTCAATCAACAGAATTCTGACATTTCATAAGTGTTGCTACTAAAAAAGTTCTCTACCGAAAAAGGGACAAATTTGACGCATTTGAGGACATTAAAAAAATGCTACGTATTTTTTATGTTTTACCTACAAAAAGGTAAATCTAAATATTTACTTACTCAAGTGACCAAATATAAAAATAACAAATATTTAAATATCTCGAACAATATATCGAATTAAGTTTAATTTATTCTTTACCTGTGCGTTATTTACTGTTTGTGATGAAAAGGGACGTAATTATCAATCGCCGTAAAACCATTTAATGTGGAGCACCGCACTTAATAAAATTAATACATTTAGATTTACATTTTTATAGGTAAAACAAAAATACGTACCATTTTTTTGTTGCCCTCAAATGGGTCAAATTTGTCCCTTTTCGGTGGAGAACTTCCTTAACACTTCTGAAATGTCAGAATTCTACGGAATGAAAAATCAGAGTTTAGTTGGCTGCGACATATATATTGTTGTATTAACACACATTAATTTACGCATATCGCGTCGCTACACCCGGCTGAGGAGGTCTTATTGATAATGAAGGTAAGGTACCAACGTAGAGGTGACGGCCTTGCTTAGGTTCGATTCTCCTATTTTAACAGCGATAGATATATCCGAAATAACACCAACAAAATAAAAAACCTCCCCATATAGCGCATAACTCGTCATGATCGTAGAACAATGTCGGATTTGAAAACAAAAACACTTTTTATCATATTTGGATACTACAGAGACTAAATTTCAAATTAATCAGTCGGTATAGTGACGGATTCGACAGAAACATGTGATTTTTCTAGAAAACTGTGTAATTTATGTTATTATTTTTATTTAGTTTCAAAACAAACCCTTTTGTTTGCTTGTATACCAATTTTCATAATAACAGAATATGAATTAAAATAGTTATGACAAAAACTAACATGATTATATTATTTTGAAATGGCTGTAAAGTTTACTATTTGTCAGATCCGTCACTATTCTACGCCTATGAAGAACTGTTTATTTAAATGGCAATGTTATAGTTGTCATTGTAGATTGTCATCTGTCAAAGTGTGGAGTCAATTTGATTGTGCGTGTTCTAGTTTGTTAAAATGTGGATAACTATTAGGCAGTTAATAAAATATTAATTATCTTACGGAAGTATTGGTCGGATAGTCTGATGGAATTGACTCTATGAATAATGTGTCAAATGTCATGTCATTTTGCATGTATATACTTAGTGTTGCTATATGTAGATATTCAGCGAACCAAAGCAGGTTTTTTATTTTATTACTCGGGATTAATTATTAGCTGTTTTGTTCATTTGGTCAGAGGTTCAATGGCAAGGACGCGTTCGTCTATTGTTCGATAATCAAGCACATTTTCCTTTTTAATAAAAATAAAATTTATATATTTTTTTTTTAAATATTTGACCAAAAAGTTTCTATATTAAAAAGAAAATAAATTTCATTTTCTTGTTTATGCCTGTATTTTTATGACGTTGTTTTCGGTTTATTTTATATCCAATAAGACCTCTATCTTATTGGTAATATGGTGTATATTTATATGTATATGTCACCGGAATATAAAAAAATCCGCAAACATTCGTAGGATTCTAAACGAGAGATAAATTGTATTATTTTACGCCCACATTTTCGCTAATTGAAAAACTTACTGAACTCACGGGTAAAATAATAAGTAAGCGCCGTGTGCGCTCTGATTGGTTGAATAAGTCACTAACCTAATCTCACCTAACCGTTTAGAATCTTACGAATGGCTATCCGTTACTTTATAAATTTACCACGAGATGGCGTAAATTGATAAATTTATAAACTGGTGACATATATATACAGCAAAGTTAAATTAGGAGAATCGACGTGCTGTTTATGCAATGTTAGTATATTCTAGCTACTTTAGAAATTAAAGTTACTAGCTTGCAAAAGGTTTTGATATAAAAATCCAAAAATTTTGGTGTAATATGATGATTGAAAAAACACACTATAAAAAAATAAAGCCGGTGACTTTAAAACGCAAGAACAGAGCTCTTACTAACTTAGAAACAATAGACTAGGCCGTCCATGTATACAGATACCGGCAAACTTCTTGAGCATTAAACAAGGGAGTGGGGGAAAGATTGCGCAGCGCGGGACACAAACGGCAACTGATTTACCAATCACGCGATCGGCACGTCACTCTCCCGCCGCCGCCCCCCCTTCCAGTGATACCTAAGAATCGCTTCTGCGCAGGAAAGGACATTTGTTTAAGATGTTTGCCGGTATCTGTACAGGTAGTTGAAATCACAAAGGTTGCCGATGCTTATAATAACGATAGCAGTGCCCTTACCATGAGCATGAAACCCATAATGAACTTAATTGGCAGAATTTAATATCACCTTATGTTGTAAGTTGTATTTTTTAACATCATTATTAAATATTTTTAGTTGAAATTTGGATATTTAAAAAAATCAGTGGCGCGCAATCTAATAGGCAAGTAGATCAGCCTCCTGTGCCTGACACGCGCCGTCGACTTTTTGGGTCTAAGGCAAGCCGGTGTCCTCACAATGTTTTCCTTCGTACAAGCGAATGTTAAATGCGCACATATACAGAAAGTCCATTGGTGCATAGCCGGGGATCGAACCTACGACCTCAAGGATAAGAGGAGCTGAAGCCACTAGGCCAACACTGCTATAAACTTTGGCCATACATAAGCAAATAAAACGTGTGTGTACTTATGTACACGCGTTGTTGTAGAAAAAACGACACTAACAATAGAAAAAACTAATATGTTGACTATAGCTAACTTCAGGGTGTCGGTCTTTTGTGACGGTGTGCGCGCGCATCGTAAAAAATTACTCTCATAATTTATATATATAACTTCAAAAAATCTAAAATTTTGACTATAGCTAACTTCAGGGTGTCGGTTTTTTGTGACGGTGTGCGCGCGCATCGTAAAAAATTACTCTCATAATTTATATATATAACTTCAAAAAAATCTAAAATTTTGACTATAGCTAACTTCAGGGTGTCGGTTTTTTGTGACGGTGTGCGCGCGCATCGTATAAAATTACTCTCATAATTTATATATATAACTTCAAAAAATCTAAAATTTTGACTATAGCTAACTTCAGGGTGTCGGTTTTTTGTGACGGTGTGCGCGCGCATCGTAAAAAATTACTCTCATAATTTATATATATAACTTCAAAAAATCTAAAATTTTGACTATAGCTAACTTCAGGGTGTCGGTTTTTTGTGACGGTGTGCGCGCGCATCGTAAAAAATTACTCTCATAATTTATGTATATATATAACTTAAAAAAACTAAAATTTTGACTATAGCTAACTTCAGGGTGTCGGTTTTTTGTGACGGTGTGCGCGCGCATCGTATAAAATTACTCTCATAATTTATATATATAACTTCAAAAAATCTAAAATTTTGACTATAGCTAACTTTAGGGTGTCGGTTTTTTGTGACAGTGTGGACGCGCATCGTAAAAAAATTACTCTCATAATTTATATATATAACTTAAAAAAACTAAAATGTTGACTATAGCTAACTTTAGAGTGTCGGTTTTTGTGACAGTGTGGACGGGCATCGTAAAAAAATTACTCTCATAATTTATATATATAACTTAAAAAAACTAAAATTTTGACTATAGCTAACTTCAGGGTGTCGATTTTTTGTGACAGTGTGGACGCGCATCGTAAAAAAATACTCTCATAATTTATATATATAACTTCAAAAAAACTAAAATTTTGACTATAGCTAACTTCAGGGTGTCGGTTTTTTGTGACGCTGCGTGCATCGTAAAAATTTACTATCATCATTGTTCCCTAACGCGCCAAAAGAAGTATAACTGCAATAATAATATAATTGTAATTTTTTTGACAACATATTTAATTCAAAAAATACTTTCCAATTATTATCAAACCCAAAGTCGATTTGAATTCTGCCAATAAAGTTCAAAAGCGAGTTCCAAAGGCAAAGGAATTTGCTATCCGGTATTTATGCTATACCCATCGCATAATAGATGCATGTCGGCTGGCTCACTGAGCCCAGGTTATGATTCCATAGAGGGAGATGGTGGCGAAGCTGGTGATTCAGAGGAGAAGGTCTACGACAACGAAGCAGAGGACACGGCGTACTCTTGGAGCTTCTTCCATTTTGTTTTCGCTATGGCGACGCTCTACGTTATGATGACACTCACAAATTGGTACAAGTATGTATATTTGAATTATATCTATATATATAAATTCTCGTGTCACTATGTTCGTTCCCATACTCCTCCGAAACGGCTCGACCGATTCTTATTTTTTTTTATGCATATTCAGTAAGTCTGACAATAGACTAATATCTATATTTCAAACCCTCTGAGTGATAAGGGCTGTCCACCACAAAAAAAAAAAAAAAATTTTTTTATTATGTGGCCTATTAAATAATACATTAAATCCTAAATTTTCATCCCTCTAAGATCAACCCCTATTTTTTAGTATAGGAGGTAGTTATTTTTATTGAACTAAAAAAATGTTTCCTAGAAATAATATGGCAAGACAACGTTTGCCGGGTCAGCTAGTAATATACATTTAAGACCTGTTTTAAAAATGATCAGCCTTTATTTTGTTTATTTATTAAAGATCACCACATCATATATAATGCTATATCTACCTTATATGTTACAAGCTATATTTTCTAAAATATATGACGATTATGGTAAATATAAATGTTACTCAAAAGTAAAAGTACAAGTATATTTTTTTATATTAATCATTGATAATGTAGCATTTAAATGGTGAAATAATTTTTAAAATCGGTTCAGTACTTTTTGAGCCAATCAGTTACAAACATACTTACATACAAATCTTTCCTCTTTATAATATTAGCTTATGGCTTGGATTCCCTGGTGTACTTCCACATTTTATATATTTTATGATATAATACAGGTTATAATTAATAAAAATAAATAAAAATGTGTTTATTGATTTTAAGTTCACATGCATTACAATGTGTAAGATTTAAGAACCCTTTTAGGTAAGAAATACCTGTATCAGGGTTCCCAGCTCTTCCATAACAAACTTTACTATAAATTCTTTAAAATATTATATTAGTTACATCTTTTATTTTTTTTGTTATTTCAACTGTTATCAACACGTGATTTTTATTATAGTTTTTGGAGGATTGTGTTAAAATTCAGTCATGAATCTGGAAGATTAGCTTTTGAGTTTTTAATTTTTTTTTTGTATTAATTTAGATTAAGGTTCTATATTATTTATACAACATTTGATTCTGCACTTCTCGCAATCATCATGTTTCTTTTTCTTTTAGTTTTTCACTTACTAGGGTTGCCCGGAATCGCTTGTTAGCGATAAGGCCGCCCGTTGCATCCCTTATAATTTTTATGTATTCCTTTTATTTTTATTCCAATGAAGTGTGAATAAATAAATATAATTTTAAAAAAATAATTTTCAGTCCAAGCTCACAACTGTCGAAGCAGAATGTGGCGTCAATGTGGATCAAGATCACTTCGTCGTGGCTCTGTGTGGGCCTCTACATTTGGACCCTGGTCGCACCCGCCTTATTACCAGACAGGGAATTTAATTAGACTTCTAACCGACTCAGAGTTGTCTATTATCTGTAATGAAATTAACTAACCGATAGGTGAACTTCAATATTTGCTTCATTAACTGTTAATTAACGATTCTGAGTACGCTTTTAAGTCAAAGTTAGAGATTTTTGGATTACTATTGAGTCTAGATTTTTTAGATCTAAGTGTCTTCAAACATTTAATCATTACTTGTAAAAAATATTAGATTAGGAATATATGATGTGTTGATTTATCTCCGACAAAGAAGAGAAAATAAAAATCTCGGATACAACTATGAACAAAGCAATTAAAGGATTCAATAAATAATAACATATTAAAAAACAAAAAAAAATGGAAATCGTATGTAACGGTTATTCAATTAATTATAAAATATTTACACTTTTTCTTCTGTAATTGATCTCAAAATCCCGTAATTAGATGTAGTGGCATTATAGTAATTGGATATTGTATATAATCTCATTAAATATATATTAAAATTTAATCGTTTTATTTATTCCTTACAAGTTACATATATATTAATTAATATTTAAAAGCACAAACAACAATCGCACACTTGAAGCCAATATGAGCCCTTTAGTTTTTCCCACACTCATAAATTTTATTTTATCATTCTCGTTTCCGATAATGTCCAATAACATAGCAACTTAGATATACGAACTCTTCAATAAGTCAAATTACTTTTTTGTTAATTTAGCGTCGAACCTACCCCTAATGTAATCATAGTTATAAGCTCATGTATTAAACAAAGCCAGTTGTCACCCAGCTTCAAACAGTGTTTCATTTAACATATATCTGAACATATCCGACAACCGCCACCGAACTAAACTCAAGATTATACAAAAAATATGGTTATCATTAAGGAGACATCAATCTGATATATTTCACCACCATTTGGAAGCTGCCCACTGAAGAATTTTCGAACCAATTAGACCAAGGCCCCTTCCAATTATTCTACAATGCACCCGCGAACTTTTTGGCATTGTGAGTGTCTATAGACAAAATAATAATAAAAAAACTTTATTTATGACAAATGACTTAACATTAGGTGAGCCTCCTGCCCGTTTGCCCCCTGTTATATACAAATAAAAAAAAGTTTTCGGTAAAAGATAAAATATGTCTTCCTATATAAAGGTATATCAGAAAAACAATATACCTAGAGAGTAAACTTTCGTGGGATTTGAGGTAGCAGAAGTACTAAATTAACTTTTTTTTTAACACTGCTACGTCATTATAGTCATAACAGTCATCTTGATAATATCAAAAAGTTAGATTTTTGGTAATGAAATGGCGCGTAGCAAATAAGAATTGTATTATTTCGCATAACTGTCACGCCAGTTTTCTTTCTGCACAGATTAAAAAGAAATGTGTGTGTACCTAATCTGTGCCGCCTTTTGCGTCAACAAAACAATACTCCCAACTCCTCTAACGGTAAATAATGTCTCTGGTAAATTTTACGATGTTTTTGAATTGGTGAAATTCAGACCATATCGCAAAGTGATCAGCAACTGTTTATATTATTAAATGCCAATTATCAATTGACCTCAGGGATGAGACGCGCACGCTGAAGCCACTAGGCCAACACTGCTATATATATATATATACATATATATATATATGTATTAAGAAAACACAACTATGTATAACGTATATTTCATCTACACTCTTATAACATCACCGCTTTTAACTACATCATATTTAACAAGTTTCGCATATTCTTTCAACAGCTTCCTCCAGTAACACTTCACATCTTTGTCCCTCAGATTATCCCAAATCTGTTGAAAACCTTGATTTGCTATACTCTGTGCTAAATCGTCATTATCTCTAAAATAATTTACATAATGAAGAATCTCCTCTTGTGTAGCCTTAGGGTTTATTGGTACATAATGGATCCACGGCTTTAGCGATGGATAGAAAAATTCCAGCCAATCGTTACCAACGTGAAATATTAACGATTTGCATAGAAATAAATGTTTGAATCTAAAACTCGCTGCGACTCCTCTATAATTAAATAGGTATTTGTATTTGCAATGATCTTCAAATGAGACTTCTTTCGCTGGTTCGGCGTATAGTGTATCCTGAAATTAAGTTATTTTAAGGTTATAATGAGTGTTGAAGACCCCACCCCCCCATGTAACGCGCCGTAACGTTTTTCTGTACCCAATAGTAAAACGTTTCTCTACTCTTTATACCTAAAAGTTACCATTATGTGGTGTAAAGTACTGAAAAAAATAATATTAACAATAACGCGTAATTCAATCCCCGCCCCGCATCGTAACGTTTTGTAACAAAAGGAAAAAAATTCGTTACGTAATACTTGAACGCTCCCAAAGTCGTGCCTATGAACGTCCTTTTTGAAGTGAAACTTCTTTATCGAGGTTGGAAAAAAATTTAGTGTAACATTTTTTCGTTACGCGTCACATTTTTCGGTTACGCGCCATGTTGCTTTTTGAAGTCAAACTTCTTTATCGGCGTTGGAATGAAACTTCTTTATCGACGTATGGGAGAAATTTTGTAGCAAATCGTCACGTTTTTCAATGATAGTAATAATTCTATTACAATTAATGAAATTCTATAATAATCTTCGTAGTAATAAGGTAAAATGAAATATTTGTATTCATGTCTATGATAATAAAAGCCTTTTGTTAAACTTTATCTAATTTAACGAATTTCTGTAAAGTTGCATATAGTAGATCATTTTTCGAAAAATAAGATCATAAAGAAGTTTCACTTCTTACGTGTGTACACCTAGTACACGCACAATTTCTTTTTGTTACAGGAGGCTCATCTGATGTTAAGTGTTACCGCCCATGGACACTAACACTGCCAGAAGGCTCGCAAGCACACAGCCGGCCTTTTAAGAATTGGTAAGCTTTTTTCTTGAAGGACCCTAAGTCGAATTGGTTCGGAAATACTTCAGTGGGCAGCTGGTTCCACATAGTGGTGGTGCGCGGCAAAAATTAAGAAAGGCTCGGTTGTGGAACGACAGACGTCGAGTTGATACGGATGGTATTTTGTATTCTGCCTTGAGGTCCGTACCAATTCTTAAATGGCCGGCAACCCACTCGCGAGCCCTCTGACATTGAGCGTCTCTATCACTTAACATCAGGTTAGCCTCATGCCCGTTTGTCCCCTGTTCTATACAATAAAATAGACTTCGAGGATTCCTTCTGTAGGAAGAGCAGCACCTGTCTCACTCCACTTATTCGGCGTTTCACTTACAGCATCAGATTTCCAGGCTTGGTTTTTCGTATATTTGGCATCTACCAGAGCTGGATGAGATCTAGATAATAATATTAAGGCGTCTCTTTCTTCGCTCGTTCTAGAACCTCTAAAGAAGGCTTGTGTCTTCTTCTTTTCCCATGGAACCCTACAATGAGAAGAGCTATAAATAGAGTCTATTTTGACGTACTTTGAATTACAATTTAAAAAGGTCTGGAATGGAATCCAGCATATAATTAAAACACATTATTAAGTTTTTGAAATGAAACTTCTTTAGGCACACGAGGGTAAAATTTTTACGGAACGTCACGAAGATGTGCAGCGTTTTGGTCGAAGAAAAGTGAGAGAGCGATCGAGACCGATTGAGAGAGAGTGAGAAGGCTGAAGGGTTAACCTTATAGAAATTATATTTTTTAAATTAAAATTTCGTAATGAGAATTTATGTATTTAAGTATTTTATATTTTATGCAAAATAATTTATTGAAATATCATATGACGAATTGAAAATAAAATGCCACGTTTTTTATTATCGAAGAAATAAATTTAAAAAATTAAACTTATAATTATTTGTACTAATTTTCGACACTTCATATTTACACTTTATATATTTTTTTTCAAGTGCACAGGCGCTTATTAAAGATTTAAGTTGGCGCCTGGTAGATAGTACCGGTGTCCACAGAGCTGGCACTTCCCTGGCTCAAAGAATAAGTCTCGCAATACAGCGAGGAAATGCTGCCAGCGTTAAAGGTACACTGCCACAGGGACCAAACTTTTTAAATTTGTTTTGATTTTCTTCTTTCTTCTTTAATTATTTTTATTATTACTTTATAGGTTAAGAAAATTGTAAATACTGTATTTGTGTAAATAAAATCTAACATTAATGAGAATTAAATTCCTAACATAAGATATGTTTCTTAGATTTGTATAAATATGAACAGGACTTAAAAATTACTTTGCCAAAGAAGTTTCACTTCTAACATGTGTACTTTGTAGGCACGCACTTTTTTTTACAGAAGTACACGCGTTCGGCCACAAACCCACCTGGTGTTAGTGAGGTACGGACGGAAAGCACACCAGGAGATGCCTATTTAACCGCAACCGCTTCAATTAAGATATAAATTTATTATTTTAAATTAAATATTGGCTGTTGTATCATATAATCAAATGATTAATTTAAAAGATCCCAACTCTCTGTACATATAATGAAGACGAAATATCTTGCTTTTTCAAATAAAAAAAAACAAATATCATTGTTATAGATATCGGCAAACATCTTGAACAAATGTCCTTGTCCTTGGCATTTTTAGGTATCACTGGGAGTGGGGCGGCGGGAGAATGACGTGTCGATCGCGTGATTGGTAAATTAGTTGACGTTTGTGTCCCGCGATCCGCAAACTTTCCCCCACTCCCTTGTTTAATGCTCAAGAAGTTTGCCGGTGTCTGTACCGAAATGCATATTGGTAAAAAATTAAATTAGATCTCATACTTGTCGGCAGCTTTGGTTATAGATATCCTATGTTGGTCCCAGCGTCCAATACCAGTGGGGTATAAAGATATGGCGGGTCCACCTTCCCAAAAGCTCCAGGCAGGATACATTATATCATCATAGTCCTTTGTCTAAAAAACATAATATAAAAAGAAACAATAAAAAATAAATAAAATGTATTGTGTTAACTGTTTCATTGTCAAACCATCTCTGTTTGAGACACACATACACATAATTAATAGTTCAAAGAGGTTCAAATTTCGGCGAAACCAAACTTCCCTTAATATAATGTCTTTGCTTTACACAAATACAGATACCGGAAAACTTCTTGAGCATTGAACAAAGCTCAAGAAGCTTACATTGCGCATCGCATCGCACGCTGGACACAAACGTCAACTGATTTACAAATCACGCGATCGACACGTCACTCTCCCGCCACCCCCGCTTCTGTGCAGGCAAGGACATTTGTTCAAGATGTTTGCCGGTATCTATACAACACATTTAAATAAAACTCTCTCTATAAAAGCGAGATTTAGAGCGAGTCTCTCTCTGTTAATTATTATTTAAAGATGTCTGTCCACTTTGTGCAGCAAAAATTTAAAAGATCAATTTTAAAATTCAAGACTGTAATTATGTTTTCTAATTGTATAGTTAAATTGCATTTGTTTAGAATATAATTACTAAAGAAATACCATAGTGAAAATGTCATGTCATAAACTACTCACATGCAATATCTTGGACCACTATTGGTCTGGTATGTAGGTATGTGTATGTATAAAATTCAAGATTCCTAAAAACTAAATATTTTATTTAATTTCCAAGAGTTTAAGAACTATATACATACTTTGCTGAAAGAAAATACTGGGATATTCTTATGCCCCCACAGCCGATTGACTTGAGGCCAGTCTCTTGTATTTATAGATAACTCCATATTTGGTAACTTTGGTGACAATAATTTTAGATAATGCTCAACCCCAGCACATCTAGCAGGAAAATGGCACTCTTTCTGCCTATACAACTTCCCATCTATAATCTAAACAACAAAACAAAATATTATTTTATAAGCTTCAGATATTATTAGTGTTATAGATATAAGGTCAAATGTATATAATACTGACAAGGTTTTAGTTAACTTAGAAGTTACTTTGTAACATAGTTGAGGTCAAAAGGAATACATAGCAAAAAGAGACTATATTAATAAAAAAATGACCATTGGACCTATATTTGATTACCAAACTACTATTATTATTAAAAATATATGTTTTATACCTAAGAACAAACCTGGTACTTAGTTCCCTTATTAATGGCCTTTTCTACCATATCTTTATTTATACCAGACTGAAAAGGTGCTAAATCATTTATTATTACTTGAGCATGGCAAGAACAGTTATCAGAAGAGCAAGGTTTATATTGGGTGGTTGCTAATTTCATTTCATTTGTAATATATGAAGTCCACTCATTTATTTCTGGAATAATAAAATTATAGATGAATATTAATTTTATATATTTTATAATAAACATCGATGTGCGAACCACACCACAACACCCGTACAAAAAAATATAGTAATTAAAAGGGATTATTTCCTTAAACTATTTTAGTCTTAAAGTGCCGATTGCATGTTCCTTATAAACCCTAGCTGAATATAAAAACTTGTTAATACCTTTAGAATATTTGTTTTTATTTCCTTTGGAGCATATTGATTCACTTGTACAAGTTTCAATATTACATTTTGAGAAAGATAGGAGTAAATAATAAATAAATGCAGAAAACCAAAATCTAGAAAACGTGAAACACATTTTGTGTATGTTTTATGCTATTAGATTTTAACAAAAATATATAATTCTTAATATTTTAGAATTAAAATCCTTAAGATAATGTAAACGCATGCTTTGTTTTTGACTTTTGTTTACTGTTTTTAAATAGCAGTTAGCAGACGCATCACGCAGTCGCACTGACAGTGACATTCCTTTTGCGATTACTAAAAAGTGACAATACACTTTATATTGATGTCAACTTTCAAAAAAATTACAGATATCGTAATTTGATATAGTAATGTTTTCATAGTGAAAATTGTGCATTTTCAAAAGCTCAGATCCGGCTTTCGGACCCTAGGTCGCACTGTTTTTTTTATGTGCATAAACGTATGGAAACATCATGACAACATTAAATCTATTTGATAACCCCTTTGTAACTCCAAAAAGTTTTCTTTAAATTATTGATGCTTACTTTCGAAGATTATTAGGCTTCAGGGCTCATCATTTTTAATTTCTATTTGCTAAAAAGGGTACACAAAAATTAAAAAGTTTTTACAAAAATATTTATTTTTTATAATTATAGTATAAAAATGATTTATTAAAAAAAAACAATACATATTAATTTCTTATGCAAATATATAATGAAATTAAATGCGATACATTACTTTAGGCATACATATTGTACAAAATTTAAATTTCTTTATTTGTGCTTGCTTTAAGTACAGCTTAAATATACATAGATTACAAATTTTAGCTTAAGCCTTTGGCCACAAAGCCATAAGCTAAAATTTGTTTACAGATGAATATTGCATCGGTCTATGGAAAGAAATAGCACATCCACTTCTTATTTCTGTTACATAGACAGTGATAACTGCCTTAATAAAGTAAAAATATATCTATTTAGCTCCAAGAATTAAAGCTTACAATAACGGAACTATATGTTTGTCCTTTATTTTCTAACGCCATCTTAATGCGTAAAAAGGAGATAAAACAATGTTTGACGTGTCCTAATTTACGTGGCGTTCTAGTGGCGGCGCTTGCTACACTTTATAGCTGCTACTTTTAAAAGTTTTTTTTGCATAGAATTCTTCTAAGTGATAATAATAACATGAGTTTGTTGGACTTAAGGATGCTTTCCAGCTTTAAAAATTTGCATTTGTTTAAATTAGGTCCTTTTTGTCCAAGTTTTACTTTAAATAAATTATGCTGCGGTATTCACTATTTTCTTATACATTAATTACTTATAACAATTAATATTTAGTATTTTTGTAGGAGTATAACCGAATCTTAATTTCTTATAAGAATATTTACAAATTGACCAGTAATTACTTTGACAATTTGCGTTCGAGCTGCTCGGCAATTGCTTGCAAAAAGTCTTCAGTGTGTAAAAACATGCCTTCCTTGGTATTAGCTAAGCCATGGATGCATATTACCAAATCCTTCGTCATTTTGCCGCTATCAATACATTCGACGCATGCCTGAAAGTTAAATTTAGTATTAAGGAGTATTCTTAATTTTTTTTAGTGACGTCTTAGGATCTGTCAATCAAAGCCGTTATGTGTTTGTCATACGTCAAAAGGCAGGCCAAAAAACGTGTCTATGTTAAAGTAAAAATATGTTGTAACCTCTTTGGTATATAATATGTTATTTACTTTTTGATACTGTTACTCTTGTGAAAATATTATTTCTTTATGGTCATGATACTATTTTGCATAGTAAAAAAAACCCACTTCAAGTGTCTAACATAAAAAATTATTAAATCTCGTGAAAATAACCAAAATTACCGGTAACTATTTATAGAATCAAAAAAAAAAAATGTTTATTATGGAACATAAGATACATGTATCACTTATTCCACGTCATTAAATTTGAATCTGTAGACATCCCTACTCATCGGCAAAGAAGACAGAGGGTGTAGGCCGAGAGAAAAAGCCGGCGAAAAAAACTCTCGGTACTTTTTTAAAACAGCAAATCATCAAACAACACTTATTTAAAACAAATACCGCAAATTAATTAGAAGTAGCCTGTCTAGCACTAGTCCCAGGCCCTTTTATCAACTAGATAATCGTTGACTTTATAGTAAGCCTTTTTACACAGCTTTTCTTTAATACATTTCTTAAATTTATTGAAAGGCAAATCAAGTCCCTTATTATTATTATTATTTTTTCTCTACATATGTATGACCACAGACTATAACAGGTCAAGTCAATACACAGACTGTTAAATATAATAATTACCTCTTCCAAAGCTAAAGCGAATTTCTCCAACTCAGGCGTGCCATCCAATTTAGCACGATGCATTAATCCCCTGGTCCAAGCGTAAATAGAGGCGACAGGGTTGGTGCTTGTAGGTTTCCCCTGTTGGTGCATTCTGTAATGGCGGGTGACAGTTCCGTGGGCCGCTTCAGATTCCACTGTCTTACCATCTGGGCACATCAGCACTGACGTCATCATCCCGAGAGAGCCATAACCCTGTTTATAATAATTTAATGTAATAATAATTTAGTAAAAAGGTGGGTAGAATTAAAAAATGCCTACCGTCACTAAAGCGGTACGTAAACTAACAATGGGAGCGGTGATTCACGGATGCCTTACGTAAAATACAATGATACTAATGCAGAAGTCTGGTGTATGGTTAAAAGCTTTTTTTTCTTTATTACCTGCCGAGGTACGAGTACGTACCAACTTGTCACTTTTACTTGAGAAAATTAATTTACTTGTATGAATTATGTATGATTTATCATTTGATATTAATTGAGAAATCCCTAAATCAAATAGAGTTCGATATAACGAAGTATTTCCGAACCAATTCGACTTCTTGAACAGAGCATACCAATTCTCAAAAGGCCCGCAACGCACATGGCACCCCGTTGGCCGTGCGAGTGTCCATAGACTATCACTTAACATATGAGAAATTGGGTTAATTGTCTCTTACCTGTGCTACAATATCTGACTGTACATCGCCGTCGTAGTTCTTGCAGGCCCAGACAAATCCGCCTGACCCTTTAATAGCTTGTGCAACCATGTCATCGATCAGGCGATGCTCGTACCATATCTTGGCATCTTCGAACTGTTTTTTGTATGTGCTGAAATGTTTTAAATTATTCGTAAAAACTAAATCAAATTTGTACGCTTATATAATCTTGTCTCTTTTCATCGCAGCGTTAATACAAGATAGAGCCACGACTCTCTTGATGTTAAGAGGTAAATCTTTTATATAGGCTCGGTACGTCCCTTCTTTTTTTTTTGAAGCAGATACAACAAAAAAAAATACAAGATAGAGATAGAGATACAAGAGAGAGAACGAGCTTTAGTTTAAGACTGAAATCAATGTTGTATTTAAGTTAAATTTCGCGCTTTTAATAAAAACCAGATGTCTAGTCTGTGGTCTTAGTAACGGGTTTTGTCTATAATCAGATGCAATCACTGTTCAAGTTTAAGATGGCAACACCGTTTTGTCGAAGTGTAATATTGAAGCAAATATTTTTACCTTTCATATATTTCTTGGAAGATATCCTTGAAGCGACCATCATAACGTTTGAGAATTGTATTCTTCGTTGACAAATACAACGGCCATTTCTTTTGTAAGGCAACCTGTCAAACACACTTGACATTAGAAGAGCTAAGTCTTGAAACTAGATTTAAGTCTGATTGACGTTCTAGACGGAACTTTCTCTGTAAAACCGATTCCAAATAGGTATTTAACACTGGATGTGGTAAATACAAATCATACTGCCTTAAAGTAATTTAACACTGAATAAGAAACCCTTAGAGACCTGGTGTGTTAGCTTTTTATTTATATCCTGTTCAATTTTAGTTAAAGAAATATAAACATGCTATGGCACAGTTGTTGATCTAGTTAACAAGTGTCTCCCAACGTGCCCAACGCCCCACAGGGAGGCAATTTGATTGTTAAAGGGGACAATCGAAATCGGCTGGATATAACACAAAGTGGTGACTTGAGAGTTGAAACTGAAGCTAACCAAATTGGGACCTAATATAAAATCTCTGTGCAGGAAGTATCAAGCGCAAGGATATCACTTAATTACTAGGACGCTGCAGTGCTCGCAATTCTGCTTCGCTTCAGCACAAATTTAAGCGGAGCGAGTGTTCAACTAAATTTTTAATGATGAGTAAAAATACATAGATTCAAAACATTTAATTTAAAGATTTGATTTTGTTGAAAGGACTTTTTAGTTTTAGGTCTCCTTCGAAGTTGTTTTTCCGCTTATTTTGTGATTTATTTGTAAATATTATTGAGTTTTTATAGCCTATAGCACTGAAAATTTTTCCATCTTTAATTTAAAAAAAGGATTTTCAAAATCGGTTAAGCCGTTCAAAAGCCTTAAGTGTTTGTACAGAGTGTCATAAGAGTGGGCGCATGGGAGCTTCGCTCGCTCCGCTCAATAAAAATCTTTATTAAAAAAATTTGGAATTAGAATTTCAGGTTTTCATTATTTTTTGAAAATATACTTAGTGTGTTTCGTTAAAAATATTTTTAACAACACATAACAACGATTTTTAATATTGAAAATCATTAGAATTTTAGAAAGGCTAAGGTGGGGCTTGGTACAAAGGTCGTCGGGAAACAATGGTCTACACTGTCTACAGTAGACTGGCAATAAAAAGTGTTTCGGAGAGTTATCTGTTTAAAACTTGGCTAAATGGCGTTATGGAGTAAAAAAGTTTATCCAAAATTCCACAATTAAATAAAAAAGATTTTAATTTCTACGGAGACAATTTTTCATCGGTATGTAGGTAATGTGTAATTTAAAATTAACACGTTAAACTTGACGTTTGTGTGTGTTTACAAGCATTGTACGTCACAAGCGCGACGCCATCTTGTCTAGAAAGCGTTTTTGCAGGTTCTTGAAATTGATAATTTTAATAGCCAATACGAACATAATTCAAGTAACAATTTGTATAGTTTTGAATCTTGTCAAATATTCAATAACTGGTTGGAACTGGAACTGTTGGATCTCTTAATACTAAAAAAAGGATATTTTTAGTAACCCATAAAACTACAGGAGCGATTTCAAAATTTAGTTCACTATAAGAATGCTACATTATCCCTTAGAAGACTTAATTCATTTCCAATAAATGAAAAATAAATGTCCAGCTGTGCCGACAAGCCTCCATTAAATAATAGTAGATTTACCTGAAAACTGGAATGAGCGAAGGCCATGATAGATTCGTCAGTGTTGTACATTCCCATAGCTACTCCGGGAGCTTTGAAATCATAAAGCAGTTGCTTGGACACGGTCCCATCTTCCGCTGTGTAGACCAGTTCCACCTGTTTCAAATAATATAATATTCAGGAATTAAACTATAAAGTTATAAATTAAGTTTGTTTGGTTAAAGGAAGAATAAGAACAAAGAAAGTCTAATACGTTTTTAATCTATGGATTACATTTAGCGTCAATTTTTGACACTATCTCTTGATTAATGACGTCTCTGAAAAGTAGGATAGCTATATCATTTCACAATACGAGTGAAAGAGTAGGAAACTCGCACACATTTCAATGGTAAGCGAAATAATGTTTCAATATAAAAAATATATTACTAAATGAAAATACAACTTTGGGGCTAAATATTTTATGTTGCTATATATCAAATGATGAATGTCTAGCTGAACTCTTAGTAAAAACAATATAACATAGGGGTATTTTTCTATAGATTTAATTTAACAAAAATATTTTTATAAAAAAAATCAGAAATCACCTTAATGCTACGTTTATCCAGGTTTTCAGAAAATGATGATTGGTTTAAAATCTTCCACCATTTTAAACAATTACACTATTGCGTGGAAAGAACTACGCAAAACCATGGTGTTGCCATTAATGCTTTTAATTTTTTTCATTTACAGGCACACCTGATGTTATGCCATAACCAATGGACTGCCAGAAGGCTTGTGAGTGAGTTACCAGCATTAAAACAGCCCTTACGCTGTATTGAACCAACATCCGCAGAACAGACGGACAGCTGGGCGCTGATACGCCGCAAAAGATCTTCCACATCTAATAATAATAATAATCTATACACTAACCTTTCCGGGCTTAGATACAACGAAATCTTGGGCCTTGTACTGGTCTCCATGGGCATGACGACCGATTACAATAGGCTGGGTCCAACCGGGCACGAGACGAGGTATGCTCTTACAGAGTATGGGTTCACGGAACACGGTACCACCCAGAATATTACGTATGGTACCGTTGGGGCTCAGCCACATCTTCTTGAGTTTAAACTCTATAATTATAATAGGTTAATAAAATGCAGAAGAGCAGGGCTTCAGCATGCGACTCTCATCCTTAAGGTCGTACGTTCGATCCCTGATGCACTTATGGACTTTCTGTCTATGCGCGCATTGAACATTCGCACATCGTGAGGAAACCGGCCTTAGATCCAAAAAAGTGCGTGCGTACAAAGTACACGTCAGAAGTGAAACTTCTTTGGCAAACTAATTTTTAAGTCTTGTTCATATTTATACAAATCTAAAACTTTAGATTTCCGAGACTTAGAGGGAGGGAAAAAAGAAGATAGGTATGTTAGGAATTTAATGAATTTAATTATCTTTACGAAATTTTTTGTTTTAAAAATAGAATTTCTATATGGTAATACGCCCTTCTCACTCTCTCTTAATCGCTCTCTCCGTTTTCTTCGACAAAAACGCTAAACATCTTCGTGACGTTCCGTAAAAATTTTACCCTCATGCGCCTAAAGAAGTTTCACTTCAAAAAGTTGTCGTCGGTAGACACCACCTGTGATCCCAGAGCTTGCTTTTCTCATTCAACGTATAATACAACGAGCATGCCAATGCCAGCAATTAGGGGTCTGCCACTGGGACCTATTTCTATATAAATGTGCTTAAATTAATTATTGTTATCATTCTTATGCAGAGGTCTACACTTGATTTTTTATGTGCGACAAAACTCGATAAAGTGAAGGCAAACATAGATCTACTCAAGAAAATATATCAAAACAGAAATCTAAGAGCAGTCCTAGTTGTTTTTGAAGTGAAACTTTAGGCGCATGAGGGTAATTTTTTTATGGATGAAACGCAATAATATTAGCGTCTCCAAGATGTGCAGCGTTTTTGTCGAAGAAAAGGGAGAGAGCGATTGAAAGAGAGTGAGAAGGGCGAATTACCTTATAGAAATTCTATTTTTAAAATTAAAATTTCGTAAAGAGGATTTATGAAATATTAGTATTTTATATTTTATGCAATATATTTATCTCAAATGACAATTTGTTAATTAAAATGCTACGTGTTTTTATTTATCGAAGAAATAAATTTAAAAAATTAAATTTATAATTTGTATTAATTTTCGATACTTAATATTTTAATGTCAATTAAATTCCTATCATATCTTCCTTTTTACCTCCCTCTAAATCTCGGAAATCAAAAGTTTTAGATTTGTAGGTATAAATGGAAGAAAAATTCACTTCTGACATGTGCACTTTGCACGCACGCACTTTTTAATATGTCATAATTTAAACAAACCTTCAACGCGTTGTTCATCAGGGGTGATAGTTGCGCACTTGATGCCAACATTGTGCTTCAGAATCGCGTGCGCAGCGTCAATTGTTACTTGGTCGTTTGTTGCGTCACGGTGAGGTAACCCCAGGTCATAGTAAAGGCAGTCTAACTGAAAGCAGAAAGATATTTGTTATTTAGGTATCTTGTACTGGAAGTTCTTACAATTAAGTATATAATGCTAAGAGAGGAGAGTACCGACTAACACATGGGCGGTAATTGATAAAAGGGACTAGTCCTAGACAGGCTGCTTCTATTAATTTGCGATATTTGTTTTAAAATAAGTGTTGTTTGCCATAGTCATTTTGTATGATGATGAGCTATTTTAAAAAGGTACCGAGAGTTTTTTACGCCGGCTTTTTCTCTCGGCCTACACCCTCTGTCTTCTTTGCCGATGAGTAGGAATGTCAACTCAGCTGCAGATATTAGACCGAACAACTCCTCTGAACACTCTCCATGGTAAATGCGGTAGAAGATGCAGAGAGAGCCCACATCCCTACCGAGGGATCCAGCCGCACGGAAAGTGACTAGTCGTTGACTCGAATCGCTCTTCGTTGAATACGGTCAAGCGGAAGAAGGTTAGTACCAGACAGGGGAGCTCCCGCCCAGAGGTGAGAACAGTACTCCATGTGGGGCCGAAATTGCGCTTTATAGAGTCGCAAGCTGTGGCCCGGAGTGAAGTACCGTACCGTCTCTCTCTCGTTTTCTATGTTCAATACACAGGACTCAGGAGTTGCACTATCGAATCAGTGTAAAGTTAGAAGAATATTACAAAGGTTCCTTTTCCGTTCTCAATAAATCAATTGAAAATATTGATTGTTCGGTACACGGACTGCACTTTGTTGGCACTGTTTACGACTTAAATACCTACATTGATGTGATTTGAATTTTGAGAATGATATGTATTTATTTGGTAATCCTACTAATAAAACAATTATTATTATTATTATTTTTATTGGACAATTTACACCAATTGACCTAGTCCCATTCTAAGCTGGTGAAGCTTGTGTTATGGGTACTAGGCAACGGATATACATACATATTATAGATAGATATATAATTAAACACCCAAAACCTAAGCACAACACCAAATGCTCATCACATCTATGTTTGTCTCAGCCGGGGATCGAACCCGGGACACATGGATTCGCAGTCAGGGGTACTAACCACTAGACCAATGAGCCGTCTATAATTATACTAAACATAATATAGCCAAAGATGGAATAGATAATATATGCAAAAAGGTTCAAACATTTACAAAAGCAAAAAGTCAATAAATAATATTAAATACATTTAACTAAGTAATACTTAATTCAGATGTATTTTGGTTAGTGTGAAAGTGAGGGTGTGACATGTGGGGTGAGCTCATGATGCAGGGTATTTATTTTTATAAATAACTAGCTGATCCGGCAAACGTCATTTTGCCATGTATTTCATTTATAATAAAAAATAGGGGTTGATCGTAGAGGGGTGAAAATTAGGGGTTGTATGTATTTTTTAATGCTGTATCATAAATAATAAAAAATAAGTAATTTATCTAAAAATTAAAAAAAAATTTAGGGGTGGACTACCCTTAACATTTAGGGGGATGAAAAATAGATGTTGTCCGATTCTCAGACATACCCAATATGCACACAAAATTTCATGAGAATCGGTCAAGCCGTTTCGGAGGAGTATGGCAACGAAAACTGTGACACGAGAATTTTTTTATATTAGATAGTCATAGCAAGTCATAGCTTCATAGCAAGGAATTATAAAGATGATTAATAGTGCAAAATGAAAGGTTGAAAACACCTATTAAATTTATTACGATATGAAATTAGTAATTTTTGAAAATATAAATATCTATGCTACGCATTTGCTTTTTAGAACAGGGAGCAAACGGGCATGGAAATCTAATTCAGCTGTTTTGTGTGATAGTGTGGAAGTGTATATATACTTAAGAAAATTCCGCGATAGCTTAAACAAGTCAAGGCTTAAATAGGGGTCGTTGTATATCCGGGCTTTGCGATACCAAAATGAGATTTTAGCATAATTGGTGTTAATGTGAGGAAAAATGTCTACAAATCTATGCATTAATCTGTTATTATCTATATTATGGCGTACTGTTTGTAGCTTGCGACCTTTTTAGCTATGATTTAATTATCTTTGTTATTAAAAGAAAAACGGTATCTTTCATATATTCGACTTTCGAAGGTTATTATTCGAGTCGATTAATTTTTACCTAAAGATGTAGTAAATTAAACACATACGCTATCGTACGCACGTACCTATACAATAACGTCGTATTGTTACTTAAGTAAATATAGTTGATTACATGATGTATATGTTGTATAAATATACATTGCGATTATTTAACGCTAACTGTGGGAGCAAATTAATCTCACTATTACCCTTCAAGGAATTTCAGGGTAATAGTCAGATAGCTCAGCACGGGCTGTTTTAGAGAGCGTAAGTTCAACCACAAATGGGCTTTCTCCTGCGATTAGTGCAAAGGCGTCTCCTGCGAAACTCGGACTTCGGTTGGGCTTTCAAACGATGTTTAATCGTTTGAAAGACGGAACCTCACTAGAGTGAGCGAAGTACGGAGTAATGAGACTTCGCCGTCACAGTGTAGGAAATTGATGCTCTAATAACAATTAATTTGTCAATTCATGGCCCATTAAACAGTACTAACTACTACAGAATAAGTAACAAATATTATTTGTGTTTAGACAATAATACATCTTTTATTTACTTTTACAATTAAGAGGAAGCGTGAACAAGATTAAACTGTTAGATGTGTATTATTCATAAATAAATCTGTTTATATATCTATATTATAGGCATAGATATAACGAAAAACACACACACAAAATAACAATAATCATAGTACCATAGACCCGACAATAAACATAGACCCGGCGAAAAACCGGGTCTATGTCCGGTCGACAGTCTTGTATGGGACACTATGACGCCATGCTCACGACGACGGCGCTAGCGCCGGCTTTCCGCGCAACCGGGCACGGTGCTCGCCGCGTCTACGCCCGGTGCGCACTGCGCAGTGGAGTATGGCAGTGTGTGAGTGCATGTACACGAGACCGGGCCTACACCCGGCGCGTGCCGACTACCTACGCAGTACGAACAACGCAATATTATATTATATAATTATTGAAGTCGACCAGGAATTATTAATTGGAGATATACTACTGCGCATATTTGTATCTTCATGTTTTAAAGTTTGGGTTCCAAAATATGTAACATTTTTATAATGTTTGTTTTTTCATTCGAAAGTACTTCTCAAATTTCTCGTCATAGTTGCTTCTAAATGAGCGTATGAAATGAACCATGATCTTCTCTTTCTGTTAACATGGGAGGTACCCAATGTCGTCTATGTATTTTTCTCGCCTTTTTATACATGTACCACGCAATAATACATTTCCTCTTTTTAACACTCAACATTTTATAGGTACGTCCACAATTCATCGTATGAAGGCGGCACCTCCATGAAACCGGGTCGTGTACAAACCGTCTTGTGTGCAAGCTCGGACCCGGGCTCGGTCTCGTGGGCATGAGCCCTTACGTAACGAATTTTGGGAGGGGGGAGGGGGTTCCTTTTGTAAAACGTTACGATGCGGGGCGGGGATCGAATTACACGTTATTGTTAATATTATTTTCGACTTACACCACATAATAGTAACTAAAGAGTGGTCACTAGGAGCACTAGGTGGTCACGAAACGTTTTACTATACTTGGGTAGAGTACTGTACTTGGGTACTACGTTACGGCGAGTTACATGGGGGGTCAATAATCCCCAAAAATTGCGTTACGTAATACTTAAACGCTCCCTAAATTCTATATGAAAGAGATAAATAGGACCTTGGAAAATAACTCTTAAATTCTGATAATTAAAAATACTTGTAACAATATTTGTTTGTAACGTTATCAATGCAAGATACTCGTATAATGTGCCGCTTATCACTGACTTACTGGGGCAAATGTTTGAACTTTTTCAACCGACGTAATGCAATGGTATTACATAATAATTATTTAAATATTATAAATAACTTAAAAGTACAGAAACCACCAAAAAACCACTAAGGGCTTTTATCATGATGGTGGTGGGACACGGTACTAACATCTTATAATTCCTTATTATCTAAAATACAATCAATGCAACAAACAGAGAGAGAGAAAAAACATGATTATACTTTATACATAATATAACAACAAAATATTATTATTTTACGCCGCTCTCTTGCCTCCGTCAATGTTCCAGCAATTTGGGAGCCAATACTCGCAAGCGGTCGGATGGAATGTCGTTGATCCCTTGGAAAATGGAACGGGCTTTAGTATGGGATGCTACTTGTGTGGACACGTTTGTCCCGTCTCACCTCCTTCGGACGAAAAAGCTGGGGTGGCCGCAGAGCAGGCGGGAAATAATAAACGGCACAAATATAATCTTTCCTCCAACTTCGATTTTGTTCCCTTTGGAGTAGAGACTCTTGGGACGTGAGGTTCAAGTGCACAGGCGCTTGTTAAAGATTTAAGTTGGCGCCTAGTAGATAGTACCGGTGACCCCAGAGCCGGTACTGTCCTGGCTTAACGAATAAGTATCGCAATACAGCGAGGAAATGCTGCCAGCGTTAAAGGTACACTGCCACAGGGACCAAACTTTTAAATTTGTTTTGTTTATTTTTAATAATTTTTATTAATGATTTGTAGGTTAAGAAAATTGTAAATACTGTATACTTCATTGCAAATATGAAATATGTTTAATAAAATTAGTGGTATTTGTATGGTATATAACATCTATCCTAAATCTTAATATATATAAATTACGTGTCACGTTGTTTGTCCGCTATGGACTCCTAAACTACCGAACCGATATCAATCAAATTTGCACACCGTGTGTAGTTTGATCCAACTTAAAAGATAGGATAGCTTACATCTCAATTTATACCCGCAATAATATTTTATTGCAAAATATTTGTTTATTATTTAACTGTCACAATTGTAACAGATGGCGCTGTGTTGAAAGTACCAACGTTTCACATAAGCTACAATTTAATGGCATTACCACCAAAAAAGCATGGTGGTCCCCATGACTGGTGTTCTCCTACCGTTTCCCCTGAATAGTTTGCTACTATGTAATATAACAAAAACCTTAGCCACAGCAACGCTTGGCCGATCTGACTATATATAATGACTTGATGTTTTGTTATTTTGAAAGATAAGTGCTATTTAAGCCCAAAATACATACGCTGTCATTCTCAAATGAAAAAACTAATCTGTGGTGGGACGCAAATTCAATATATGGCGGTTACATTATTGACAGAGTTCATACAAAAATCCTGTGCATACTAACGCATCTTTATAATTTTGCAATACTGTATTGTCGACGTAAACCAGTCTTGATATATTTATAGAAAACATGTTTTAAGTTACCGTTATCAATTAATGAACTTTTAAATCGAAATAAAAACAACGAGGAGGACTTTTAAATTAAACTTTAAGGTATTTTTTAAAAACATATTAATAATACAATGCTTTACAACAGTTGTGGACGGTGAGACAATTTTAGTTAAAAACTGTTGTACTTAATTTTCTTGAAAAAATTGATATTTTGGGGATTTTAACGCATTTCTAGCTTATTCATTTATTAAATCATTTGTATTCGATTAACCCGCTCTTTGCCTACCTTATTATTTAAGTGTTCTCATTGTACAAAGATATATACAATTGTTTTCACTATATAAAAATACTGTTAATATAATAGTTAAATTTATATCCGAAAAGTGTGAATCAAGTGGGCGGACTCCAGTCGCCAACGAAAGAGTAACGATAAAATATCAACTTATAGTCGTTTCTCAAGTTAAGTGTGTTGTTTTGGAAAGGTTATTGCTCCCAAGGATATTTAGAAACGAGCTCTTATTGTTTTCATACACAAACAATTTGTTTTGCCATAAAATAGCTCTCGTAGTTGATATATAATTTATAATTTGTTTATTATGGAATATAAGATGTAAATAGTAGCCTCATTCTTTTCCAAAGGTAATAATTTTTATCTTTTAAGTAGTTGATACTTGTAATATATTTTGCTATCCACTCTACAAAATGAAACTCTTATAAAAGTGAACATAAATAAGTCTTTAATAAGAATAATATAATCACACCCATATTCTTAAGAAGGCAATGAATTAGTTAATAAGGCATTTAATTCTGGTGGAAAATATTAGCTTGAGAACTGGTCTCATAACAATATTATTTTAAATGTTGCTTCTAAACTTTTGTTTTTGCGGCTAAACCTGCTATAGTAGGTATTAGTATAGCATTATAGTATGTATATTTAATGCACTAAAAGTTTTAATTTTTTTTTGCATAATATGGAGCATATAAACACTATAAACAGTTAATTGTGATGAAAATACTTTATACATGTAACATATATTTGTTTGCAAATACGCGACGCGACCGGATCAATTAACTTTTATTACCTTAAATGGCTTCAATGGACTAGGTTATTGTAGGACACTAATCATAAATGTTTGTACCATTAAAAAATATAGTGCATAGAGATCACAATTCTAGTGTCACTGGCAACTGGATGACAGTTGAAATTTTTTTTTGAAATTCCAAACTGCCAGGATCCTTAACCATAATCAAGTAATCATTGATTTTACTACTATGGTAATTTACTAATTGTCTTATATTATTAATAATTTATTTATATTAAAATGCAAATAAACCTAAACTATAACAATAAAAATATAAAAAATCAAAATAACATATATTTTAATAAGCAAACTAAAGCAAAACTTTAGTTAAAGTTATATTATAGTTCAGGTAAGCGAAGCTAAAAGTAGAAGAAACTGTATGACAGGATTTCAGAGTAAAATTTAAGACAATATAGAGAATAAGTGCTAAGAACCGTTGTAAGTGCTTGAAATTATGTGTAAATGGGAAATATTAAATAATAACTTACTTTTACATATGGAAATATTAAGTTTTCTTTTATCTTTTCCCAAATGATACGGGTCATTTCATCTCCGTCCATTTCCACCACTGGTTTCGAGGCAACCACTCGTTTAGCGGTTCCATCTAAAAAAAATTGGTAAGCTGAATGAGTATGACTTTGTTGTTTTTATAAAAATTAATCAAAGCTGGTTTTGAGGTGAAGAAAATCGTGAAAGTATAAGCAGTATAATACCAATACATAGTGAATCTAGTTAGCTTCTAATTATGAATATTACGTGTGCGAAAACATCATGAATGTTGACAAATTCAATATCTACATCATAAAAATTATTAGTATTATCGGTATCGCAGCGCATGAAATACAAATATTAATTTTCTTATATAACAATAACTTTTCCACAACTAATAATCATATGAATTCATCATAAAAAACATTCATGTAAAAAGAACGACATTAAATATTCTTATGTATTATTTTTTTTTTTATTATTTCAGAAACCATTCATAATTTTATAGTAAAACCTACTTACAGTTTCTTGTTGAATTGATTTGTTCTGTGAGCGATTTTAGAAATCTTCTCCCGCTTACGGCCATAGTAGAAAAATTGTTAGTCTAGTTTTTGACTTTTAATTTAAAAAATGTGCTTCGTATCTAATCAGTCTAAATTTACGCTACTAATAACTTCGTGTGCACTGAAGTTGTGCACAAGACAGATAAATGCGTACGTGTCTGCCTACTATATTTACATTCTGATACATAAATGTCAAAGACTAAGTGAAAACAGATAGTTCTACAGTTCATTGCACCTGAAACTATATACTAGTTCACAATAATAATTGTATCAATGCTACATTTTATTACTTAACATACGTTTGTAAGGCACTCGCCGCTTGCTTTTTGTTATGATACTTAATACATGCAAGTATTAGGTATTTACTCTTTTAGAATATAATTTTAAAAATGCATAAATATCTAAGTTTTCTTTTATTCTTTGACTTGTGAGAGTGTGGATTGACTCCCACCATCTGTGCCGCGGGTGGCGGATCGCGGGGATCGACACCGGTTACCGGCCGGCGTTCAGCGAGTCTGGCGGCAACATTCGAGAATTTAGATAAAATATTTACTACGGGTGCTGTGCCCTCGTTTATATAGGACTGGTTAGTGGTTAAAAATCTAAGAGGCAGATAGCATAAGTTCGATGTTTTATGAAGTTTAGTGATTTTAATTCAAATTAAGCGACTTAATATTATGAGAGTACTACAGTTTATATGAAACTGAGTAACAAGTGAATTTGGTAAGTATTCATAATATATTTGATAATAATTGATATAGCAGCAGTATTTTGTGTCAATTTGTTGTGTTATTTAAAAAAAAAAAAAGTTCGAAGTCATAGAACCTATTTTGATAATATAAAAATATTTTTTGGTAATAATAAGCAATACAATAATATGAATTATAAATTCTATATTCATTCATTAGGTGTAACAAACTTAAATGCATTAATTACTTTGGTTATCACTTATCTTAATGAGTATGGGGCTACAAAGAAGATGCAATGCAATATAGTTAATTATTTATAATCATCCCATTTATTACATTATCTGTATATTTTTATTTTTTTAGTCATGGTTATCTGTGAGAGTTACCTTTTTAAAAAAATAGGTGCCTGTGAATGCAATTCGTTTTAAAAAATTTTTTTTAGCTTAACATATTTGGATTTTGACGGTTGATTTACGACTGGAATTATTAGAACGATGCGATAAAATGTAAATAGTGTAATACCTAATTACAGTAACTGTTCATCACTAAGATTAAATTTTCAATAGGAATGGGTTTTTGTAACCCCAATACGATTTTGTGGATTTTATCGAATTATAACACTTGTTCCGATTTACAAAATCCAAACCAACAAAATAACATCTAATTAGTTAACATTTAACATCCAAAAACTGTTTCAAGAGCTGTCAAACTATTTTTGAAGTGAAACCTCTTTAGGCGCATGAGGGTAAAATTTTTACGGAACGTCACGAAGGTGTGCAGCGTTTGTCGAAGAAAAGGGCTATTGAGACCGATTGAGAGAGAGTGAGAAGGGTGAATTACCTTATAGAAATTCTATTTTAAAAATGGAAATTTCGTAAAGAGAATTGGTGAAATATTAGTATTTTATCTTTTATGCAAAATAATTTATTGAAATTTTAAATGACGAATTGTAAATAAAAAATGCCACGTGTTTTTATTATCGAAGAAATAAAAAAATTATTTGTATCAATTTTCGACACTTAGGGTCTGTTTCACAATGTATGGATAAAGTACCAAATAACTATGCAACACATAAATTATTTGGAAGATAAATGATTCAATCCTCGAAACAATCGGATGGGATCATCACAAATACACTAATATGTATTATACGATAAGTTATAAGTCATAAACGCAGATCATAGAGTATAGACGATAAATTTTGATGAATCTGCATTTCACAAAATACAAATATTATATCGTTCAACGGTTCAAGTTCGATGCTTTACTGGCTTTGATTTATCTTCCTAGACAAAGATGAAGTGCGGAACCGAATATAAAATATTAATAATATTAGTTAAAATCAAAAAATATAAACAACCGTGTGAAAGTATTAAATAATGAAGTAAAAAGTTGTGAAGTTACACACGTGGGAGTGGTGTAAGTGATTTTTGTATTTCTTTGTATTTAGTGCATTGATCTTTGTTAAGACTTAAACCTGTCCATATTGTATACAGCAATGCTTATGCGGCCTATGCCGAACAGACGTTGGTACTTGGTTGTTACATTATTATTCCTAGGTTGCGGCTGTCACTAAATTTTGTAAAATAAAGCATAAACGCCAATGTTTTGGTAATATCGTCGGGAATTTCTCTCGATCTTCTACAAGAAGTTAAGTTAAGTTTAATTACCTAGGATAAACAAGCCTTTATCCCATGTTATCGACTAATCTCACCCATGGGCTGGTTGGTAAAAAACCATACGTAGACATATGTTTGGCGCGACGACGCCATAACTACTTTAAGAAAGATACGAAAGTTAAAAATGGGGTGGAATGGGTGAAAATATACTAAATTTAAAGTACAAAATATTATGACAGAATTCAAAATGGGTTGCCTAAGAGTTCTGCAAATCGGCAAACCCATACCTCGGTTATGGCAGAGAAGATTATTCAGCTCATCTACACCTCCGAAGGTGGAAGGAATTCCATACACAAAACTGAGTATTGGGGTACCTAAGGAGATTTGGGAAAATGAAAGAAGGTACAAAATAATGTGATTACTTACAAATCTTATACTTATGTGGAATAAAATATGAAAGCCAATAACAAAATATTTAAACTTATTTTGGCAAATTTAGATGTAAAATTAAACAATTACATAGTGTTTATTACATGTACAGTTATTAAGTTTTGGGGCTTCATTGTTAGATCATTTTGAAAATTTTAGAAAACTTTTGTTTAATTTTGGCTACAATTTTACTAGTTCTCTTGAAGAGTTTTGCCTCTTTGCGTTACTCTCCTTATACCTACACTTGTTTGAGTCTAGTTCATATAACTTTTTCCTGCATAGGATTAGATACTGGTTGGTAAAACTTGTCTATCTTGAGCAATATACATTGGTTCATTTTTAGAAAGTAACAATTATAAAAGTGTTTACTTGAATATGAGAAATGCAATAAATAGTTACTTTACTATAAATTGGTGATACTACTATCTTTACCTTTCTTTCAGAGTGGCAATTGTACCAGCTGTAGTTAATAAATTAGTAAAAAAAGGTTTTAATGTAAATATAGAAGAAAATGCTGGTGTCTTAGCTAATTTTCCCAATAAAACATATGAAGAGGCAGGAGCCAAGATAACAAATTTACAAAATGCATATCAGTCAGGTAAACTAACTAGAATAATTATTTGTTTCTGTAAATGGTATTGCTTAGCTAAAAGGTATTTTAAATAAAAAACCATAAATATAACCCATCCATTCTACAATCTGTTACAAACATTTAATGATTATTTTAATTAATAATACTAAACTATGCTTTATGAATTTAAAATAAAAAAATATAATGTAACTTACACATTATACTGTAATATTATTTACAAATAAACATGATGTTATAAAAACGTCATTACAAGTTATTTCAGAACAAAAAAAAGGTTTTAATCCACATTTTAGTGCACTAAAGAGCTATTGTAAATGTGTTATGGTGATTCCCAGAAAAAGCAACAAAAATATTAATTACAAGAAGTTATTCAGGTGTATTTAATGATCTTGGACAAATTAAAAAATTATCTATCATTCAGTTTTCTATTCTTAGTATTTTCAATGATAATATAGGATCTAACCTCCTTCGTTAATGGCAATTGTCTTACTTAAGTACTCTTTTGTTGCTTTCTGTCTAGTTGTGTCTGTGTGAGAGCTAGAAAAGTACTCTGACTTTAGTTAAAATGCTACTATTTAACAGATTTTTTCTGAATAAGGCAATAAATAAGTTAATTCGTACACATTTTATTTTGTAGATATTGTGCTTAAAGTTCGTCCGGTTGCATCAAATGAAATACAAAATATCAAATATCAAGGAACGCTTATATCATTTTTATATCCCGCCCAAAACCAAGAGTTGATTAAGGAATTATCAGCTAAGAAAATTAATGCTTTTGGTAAGTACATTTTGGTTTACTCTCAATAGCAAATGGCGATAGAGACAGCTCTCTATGTTGTAAATATGTTAAATAATTTAACGATTATTAATTTGCCTCTTGAGAAGTTTGCATATTACAGATATTGCCTATCTTTGTAAAAGGCTGGTGTCTATAAATCTATAGAAGTATGATCCACCAGCCTTCGATTGCGGAAAAAATATAATTAAAAGATTCTGTGTGTTTGACGCTGTTGTGAAGAGCTCTTTGTCTATTCGCAAATTAGCCATGACTCATTTGGTTTTAGGATAAATTGATATACATAAATAAATAAAATATTTCTTTTTAATTCATTCTATATATATATATATATATATATATATATATATCAATGTTTTTCTCATATTATGTTTCACATTTTAAATCTGATATTTTAGTTTGCTAGATTTCTGTTAGTATTTATTTATTTAAGCCTTATGCCAGAAATACAAAATACATACATGATAGTTTTTGTTTTTCATAATCTACGATAACTGATTCTGTGTGCCTGCGGGCAAAGGCCTCACCTCCATTGTCCTCTATTTTTCCTTATTGTATACCAATATCATCCAGGTCATAGTCTTTCCAGCCATTTCCATGATTTCATCAGCCCATCTTTTAAATTGCCTCTGTTTCTTTTATGGCCTCTTGATTGCTATAGTGTTATAATTTTGCTCCATTTATCTGCTCATCACATTTTGTTTTATCTCTTAAATTTTTATTTTCTTATACTTCTTACCATTGGTCTTTGGGTTAAGCTTAATCTTTCACTTGTTTTTTTTCATGTGCTTTAAAGTGACCATGTTTGGCAGCCGTATGTGAGAATTGGTAGAATTCTGTTAGTATCAATTATGAAAAATATAAAACATTTTGTTTGCCTGTTAAACAATATGTAATTAGTTAGTTGATAGTTCACTATTAGTGTTGCTACCTAGAAAAATAATATGCTTAAAAAGTTGAGAGTTGCTGTTCACTAACTCCCTTACTAGAACTACTCTTTACATTTATTACCCATCGTCACTGTAGAATGTCAAAACTGAAAACACTATTTTTTATTCTTAGACTCTTATGTCAGTTAACTGGTATAATCATGAAGTAAGAACTTATTTAGGTTATTAATAAATAAGTCTTTATTACAATCCAAAGCTATGGACAGAAACTTTTTTCTCTGTTTGGTTCTCTGGTCATCATTCAACAGCGACGCTATGATAATTCTTAGCACAAGTATTGATTCTCTCAACATAGTGCCTTCAGTGATAATGCAGTATTATTTGAGTGACAGCAAAAATTTTTAAATACTTTTGTTCCTGTTTTGTGATATCGTTAATGTGATTTGAGAATGTTATTAAAGTGAAACTTTTATTACATCGTCTCAAACTTTTTCGTCTGTGTGTTGCATGTCGCGTGACGGTCGGCCGCGGAGTAGGGATAAAGTGAAAGGCGCTCGTCATAGCAGCCAAGGCCAATATGGCGGCGCCTATAGTTCGCATCAGCTGACCGTGTAGTGTATAGACTATTATTTAATATGTGTATATAATCTAAATAAGTATTATGTATGTCGTACTCTCTTAGACACAGAGTTCAATAAAAATATTAGTTGGAGACATAGTCTACTTTTATTATTTCCCATTATTATTCCAATTTTCCAAGTATACAATTAAAATTAATAAAGCTATTTTTATACCCTTAATGGAATATTATTCCAAAAAAATTTAGTTAAATGTCTATATTCTATAATGTGAAAAAAAGTTTCACTTTTACCGTGGTTTCGTAAAACCACATAATCCTTTTATTATTACTTACCAGCCATGGACTGCATACCCCGAATAAGTCGAGCTCAAGTGTTTGATGCTCTCAGCTCGATGGCGAATGTGGCAGGTTACAGGGCTGTCATCGAGGCTGCGGCACACTTCCCAAGGTTCTTCTCAGGTATGTTGATAGGTTTTGAAGTTATACTTCTTTTTGCGCGTTAGGGAAAAATGATGAGAGTAAATTTTGACGATGTGCGTATACAGTCACAAAAAACCGACACCCTGAAGTTATTGTCAACATTTTAAAATAAAAAATGTACATTTCTTGCATTATGTAGAAATAATTTTTGAAATAAAATAACAAATCAGTGGCGCTACAACCTCTTTAGGTCTTGGCCTCAGATTTTTGAATGTTTCATGATCATTTTTAAATCTAATAGGCAAGTAGGTGATCAGCCTCCAGTGCCTGACACACGCCGTCGACTTTTTGGGTCTAAGGCCTCCTACGCACTGGCGACCATGGTCGCCGCGACCTAGCCGCGGCGGCCAGTGAATTCTGGACTTTATATGGCAATCGCTATAGCCCCTACGCACTTAGCGGCCAGCGACCAGCGGCCACCGTTGGCCGCGGCGTCCAATTTGATGCCACGCGACCAGCGACCAATCGTGGCCGTCGAGAACATCACTTCTGTATTAAAATTCATCAGTGCTACCGCATCGGCCGCGGCGACCAGACGTGTAGCTAGCTACAGAGTGATTATTTTACAATGGCCAATTTCGACACGGAAAGGTTCATAATTGAAGTTGAAAATAGAAGAGGTTTATGGGATTTAGCATCAAATGATTACTCCAATAAAGATGTTAAGCGGCAGTTGTGGCTTGAAGTGGTCGATATATTTGGCGGTGAATCCATGGAAGATAAAGAAAAGGCAGAACTTGGTTAGTATTTTATTTTATTATGCCTAAGTAAATTAATAATGCGATGAACTACAATAAACGCAGCAGGTGCTGTAGTAGCATTCGACACGTATATGTGACATGAGTGATTTTTTTTAAAGTTGTTCCGTTCATTCAAAATCTAAGAAATTTTAGCAAATAGGTAATTGTCAAAAGTATAACTATTTTATTTCTACTATTTTTCGCTTTGCACATGAGTTTTGACAATTATTTGCTAAAATTTCCCAGGTTTTCGTAATGATTGGAATAACTTTTTAAAAGATTACTCATACCGCATGTGCGTTCGACGCCATTTTGTTTACGGCGCGCAATGGCGGCTCGCGGCGAGCACCCATATATTTACAAATTGTGCCAGGGCAAGCGACCATCGGTACTGAAGTAGTTTGCGAATATATCTCGATATTCGGTTGATGTTCTATTTGCTCTATTAGGTAAACATGCAGGTATTTCTAATAAAGCCTCTGGTACAGTTAACGTGTCCTTGAAATCATATCCGTCTCTTTCTCGCACAAAATTATGAAGCACACATAGAGCTTTTATAATCACAACTGCAAATTCTTTCTTGACGTTTAGGGGTCGGTGAAGAATCTGCCATTTATTGGCTAATATTCCAAATGTACATTCAATATAGCGGCGGGCACGGGATAGTCGATAATTAAAATTAGTCTTTACATTATTCAAGTTTCTCCCAGCATACGGTCGCATCATATGTTCCGATAGTGAAAACGCCTCATCACCCACTAAAACGAACGGCATTGATTGGCCATTTTCTTTGATGGGGTTATTGCTCGGAATATCGAGATCATTATTTAAAAGCCTATGATAAAATACAGAGTCTTTGTAAATTGACGAATCACTGCATTTGCCGTATGCTCCAATATCTAAGTAAAGAAATTTATAATTTACATCACATATTGCAAGTAACACGATTGAAAAATAATTCTTGTAATTGTAATAAAGAGATCCCGAATGTTGTGGTTTGATAACTCTAATGTGCTTGCCGTCGATGGCTCCGATGCAATTAGGAAATTGGGCGTATTTTTGAAAACCTTCAGCCGTTTGAATCCACTTATCTCTGGTCAATTGTGGCATCACAATTGGTTTTAATATCTCCCATATTGCTTCACAAACATCAAATACTATTTCCGATACTGTAGGAAGCCCTATACGGTATTCATGACTTATATGAGATAAAGAACACCCAGTAGCCAAATACCTGAAAATAAAATTCACATTAATAAACATAATATTAGTTTTGTAATATGTACTACATTTATTTATTGATTTACAGGCATTACTCTCCAAAAAAGATGGAAAAACCTTAGAGACTGTTTCACAAGAGAGCTGCGCCGTCTTAAAGATGTCAAAAGTGGTTCTGCTGCAAAACGTAAATCACAATACACCTATTTCAACCAATTACTGTTTTTGAAATCAGTGCTGGACACAAACGCAACAGAAAATAGTCTCGAAGAGGCAAGTCAAGAAAATGAAAGTGCAAGATCTTCTGATCTTGAGACTCAACAGTCTGCATCAAAGTCGCTTAGAACAAAAAGGGAAGAAAAAAATACCAAACGAAGAATCCGATACAGACCCTCTAATTTCAGTTCTGCATAAGACCATAGCGACTACACAGAATGATTCAAATTGTGACAGACTGTTTCTTTTATCCCTCCTCGAAAGATTTCAAACAATCCCTGCTGCAATGAAGACCAAAGCGAAAATGGAAATCATGGAAATTATAGAAAAATACCAACCGAACTGTACACCTACAAATCGACCGAGTTATTCAGGTTATTCTACTACCAACAGGATATCAGATGATTCAAATTACAGCGATACTCATACTCATTATTCTGATATTTCTCAAAATTCAGAAATGATAGACCTATTTCCCAATTTGAATGATTAATTGTTCACAATTGCCATTTTTAAGTTATGAAAATACAAATAATTTGATTATCTACTTCAGTTTTTTAATATTTAAAAACATGTTATAAGCAAGCCCTTTTCCTCTCCTTTTCAAAGTCGTAAAGTAGAATACTACTGAACAATAGTTCATAAATTTTTTAAAGTGGCAAAACCTTGGTCAATGAATTATACAGGTTGTTGTGAAAAACGCAACAGTGGTGGTTTAGGGTGATTCAGAATCAAGTCTTGTATAATTCAAATTTACAAAAAAATCCGTTTAGCAGTTTAAGTAAAAAAAAGGCCCTATCACATTATTTTTATTTTTCCTGTACACAATACTCCATTCCGAAACATCCTTTAAAATATATCACGTATTTTTTAAACATTCTGTATTTAAAAAAGAAAAAGCTTACCTTATTGTTATTACTAATTTTTCTTCTGCTGGAATGCATTTCCGATAGTTGTTACCAGTTCCAGTAATTTTTGGTTTTATTGTATCCAGTAACAGGTTAAAAGTATTCGTTGACATTCTCATGTAATTAAAGAATCTCTTCTCATACATTTTTAAATCCAAAAAATAAGTATAATATAATCCTTTAGTCTTTCTCTCGCAAAGTAATGGATGCACCCAAAACTGTCTTTTACGTGAAATCTTCCGTTTTCGTTTTCGTAGTAAATACACAAGCACAGTTAGCGTGATTATCTTCTGCACGTCCATCTTGACACATCCTTGGAAGTCGACTGCAAATTTTTCGGCCGTCCACATGTCGCGCTTGCCTACGCACCGGCGACCATGGCCGCGGCGGCCTGGCCGCGTCTATGGTCGCCAGTGCGTAGGCAGCCTAAGACATGTCGGTTTCCTCACGATGTTTAAATGCACACATAGAAAGAAAGTCCATTGGTGCACAGCCGGGGATCGAACCTACGACCTCAGGTATGGAGTCGCACTCTGAAGCCACTAGGCCAACAATGCTCTGCACAAAATAAATTTCAAAAATAAAAATTTTGAAAAGATTTTTATCTTGTTACGCCAAAGATGTATAACTTCTAACTCGTGTACATAAGTACACACACATGTTTTTTTTAAACGTACATAGTTTTAAACGACTTCAGATACTTGTAAAGTCGACTTGATGATATTATTGTTAGGTGAATATTTTTACCGATCTGCTCCAGAAATGCGTACATAAAACTGTTCCCTAAGTTGGAATATCTAAAATCAAAAAGGATCATCGATATGGAAGGTTTTCGAGAAATTTATGGACAAACTAACGAAATTTAACACATGTGTTCGGAAACTATTAAGTCATCATGCTCAAAATTTTAAATTAATATTTAAAATTTTAACTGATAATTCAGTATATTTTTTTTTATAGAACGGTGCACACGTGCAGAAGGGTTACCTGATGTTAAGTGATACCGCCGCCCATGGCCACTCTCAATGCCAGAAGGCTCGCAAGTGCATTGCCGGGCTTTTTTTTTTGGATCTTAAGTCGGCTTTAGAATTTTGAAATTTAAAAAAAAAATGTTGTAAATACAGTTAGGGAGCATTCAAGTATTACGTCACGCAATTTTTGGAGATTTTTTATTTTTCTAGGTCAAATGACAGCAGCTGGAAGGGTTCCACCATGCAGAGTGTTGGTAGTGGGTGGTGGAGTTGCAGGTTTAGCAGCAGCTGCCCAAGCGAGATGTATGGGCGCAGCTGTTAGGGCTTTCGATACACGACCAGCTGTTAGGGAACAGATAGAGAGTCTTGGTGCACAGTTTATCACTATGGACATCAAGGTAATTAGATTATTTTTAAATGTATGAATGTTAAATCACATTTATGCACAGAACAAGATAGACTGCCACAACAAGATAAACATATACTATATAGTACACATTATAATCTAGACATTAGAAGTGATTTGAATTTGGAATATAGAACAAAAATTTGAAAAAAAAAATAGCGGGCTTAGTCGTTAGTCTATTATCTTTGTTCCACGAGATTGTTTATACTCTATGGTCTATAAACTTTAGCCTGACCGGTAGACGCATAAAAAAATACCAGAGATAGAATGACGTAAATGACCGTTACTGGATGTCTAAAACTACCGTGCGCTATAAATTTAAATAGTAAAAACGCGCTCTTTCTAAAACTAACACACGCCGCACTCTTATTACAACATTCAACTACACTATCAAATACATACACAGACACACACCCATTGGAGCCGTTCAAGTATTACGTAAGCAGATTTACTGCAATTTATCCCCCCCTCTTATCAGCAAAAGTTAGCAATAATAATAGTACATAAACGTATAAATTTTTTGTAGGGATTCTCGAATATGCATTGCGTTTTCAAGCATAGACAATGTGTGGGTAATGTGTTAAAAGTAAATAATTACTGTTGACGTAATCACCAAATAAGAAAGTCAAAGACCCCCCTCCCCCTTGCACCATATTCACATAGGCAAACATTCACACATTCTCACGGTTATACGACTTGTGATTGATCAATTGTAACACAGAATCTAGTTTTTTGAAGGGAAACTTCTTTATCGAGGTTAGAAAAAAATTTAGTGTAACATTTTTTCGTTACGCGTCACATTTTTCGGTTACGCGCCATGTTGCTTTTTGAAGTCAAACTTCTGTATCGGCGTTAGAATGAAACTTCTTTATCGACGTATGGGAGAAATTTTGTAGCAAAACCAACGCTACATTATTTTAATCTCAAGTGACGTATAACTCGTCCTCGGCGTTAAAAAACAAGTTACAATAACAATTGCAATTGTCCATTGACAAACAATCTTCTATTATCTAACCATGCTGGTCCTGCTCCATAGGACAGTCATAGAGCCTAGACAAAATCAAATTGGTTGCGTTGGTTTTACATATTATTATTTTATAATACTACAAAATGTAATTAATTTATTTTTATCTCACACACTGTTTTATTGTGTTTTTGAAGTGAAACTTCTTTATCGGGGTTGGAAAAAATTTAGTGTAACATTTTTTCGTTACGCGTCACGTTTTTTGGTTACGCGCCATGTTCCTTTTTGAAGTCAAACTTTATCGGCGTTGGAAAAAAATTTACCGTCACATCATTTATTATTGAAGTGAAACTTCTTTATCGGGGTTGGAAAAAAATTTAGTGTAACATTTTTGCGTTACGCGTCACATTTTTCCGTTACGCGCCATGTTGCTTTTTGAAGTCAAACTTCTTTATCGGCGTTAAAATATGACATATAGTATGTACAATATTCTACGGTTTCGTTATTTGTAAATATGTGTGTTGTATACTAACTATTAGTATAGTAGTTTATTTCTAGGAGTACATTGTCTTCACATATAATTAATTTATGTATACAAAATATTGTAAACCTATTTTAAAAGAGTAAGTGTGGAGTTTCTTGCCCATTCTTCTCCACACGAAACTACCTTTTGGAAGTGGCAACTAGAATCTTTATATTTTATTTGACGTTTAAAAGTGCTATTTTAGGTGGTCTAATTGAAATAAATGATTTGACTTGACTTGAACCTTAAAAAGAAAATAAACTTTATTTCCATTGAGGTGTTTATATAACAAAACGACGCGTTCCGCTGGATTGTCATTGGTCGTAATAATATGACGTATGTCGCGTGTCAACTATCGACTATTGATACTATCAATATTTATCTAGGGCATGCCCTCTTTATGAGCAGTGCGTAGGTTCGATTCCCGGCTGTGCATCAATGGACTTTCTTTCTATGTGCGCATTTAACATTCGCTCGAACGGTGAAGGAAAACATCGTGAGGAAACCGACTTGTCTTAGACTCAAAAAGTCGTGTTTGTCAGGCATAGGAGGCTTATCATCTACTTGTCTATTAGATTGGTAAATGATCATGTAACAGATACAGAAATCTGAGGCCCAGACCTAAAAAAGGTTCTAGCGCCAGTAATTGTTTATTTCTTTCATCCCCTCTTTATAGTATTTTCCATCTAATAAATTAAACCTAAATAAACCCTTAAAATTATTTTAAAACCAGCTGCCCCTAAACTTCGCTTTGCCTTAATGTTTTATTTAGCCTATCTTTTAGTACATACCAACATATGGAATATTTATGCTACCCCATACAGACTGTTCGCTTTTCCGAATACATAAGTACCTTTTAAATTTTTCTTTCTATAAAATCATTCCTCAGAGGTCAAGGAGTAATGAAATTCTCGAATTCAAAGTCAAAATAACTTTATACATATAGGTAAAGTACTCTTAGGAACGTCAGAAAAGAAGTTAAATTAATTGTAAATTTATATTCACTACCAGTTCGCAAGTCAAGGGCGTAGAGCGCGCAAGAAGAACTGGCAAGAAACTTGTTGAACTTGAGCAAATCAATCCCAAGGATTAGGATCATTTAAATATTCGTCAAATTTATAAAAAGCTTTATTGACCCAGCCTCCAAATTTTTTGCGATTCATTTTTATTTCAAAAGATTTGAATTCCAGTAGTAGTGTCGAATTAATAGCAACGCTTTTTAAACTGACAATAAAATAAATCGCTAATTTAAATGTTACAAAAACAAAAAAAGGTCATTCCAGATGTGACCTTTTGGGGTCATTCGCGCTACGAAAAAATTATTAATAGTAGATAATGATAACCGAATTTATTCGGATTATGTTATGTTTATATTACAATGGTGAAGTCATTTACTACTACTTACTTGGCCTGAGATTTTTTGTGATCGTTTTCATAATAGGTATTCAGCTTTCAGCACACAAATGTAGATTTTTGGTTTGGGGCCGTTCAAGTATTACGTAAGCACTATAGGGGGGTGGGGGTCTTCGATTTTCTTTTTTGGTGATTACGTCAACACTGCATTTTCGAGGATTCCTACAAAAAAATAATACGTTTATGTATAGGTATGTTAACTAAAGCTGGCGGCTTCAACACATTTACACTTTGTGCTTGTGTAGTGTCTGTGAATAAGCGCGAGACGTGATGTCAAACTGAAATACAATCATAAATACATCATGAATAGACTGTCCGTCGTGTATGAGTGGACTAAAATGTATAGCATGGCAAAAAAATCATATTTTGAATCATACTGTATGTGAAATTGCATTAGTGTGAGTACTGTGAACCCGCCAGCTTTCGATAACCGACCTATACTAGCTTTGCTTGCTTTTTCCCACAAGAGGATGGGGGGAGCAATAAATTATGTTAATATATTAATAATAGTCAATCTGCTTACGTAATACTTGAATCGCCCCTTTCCTCACGATGTTTTCCTTCAAGCGAGTGTTAAATGCGCATAAAGTCCGTTGGTACACAGCCGGGAATCGAACCTACGACCTCAGTCACTAGGCCAACAGTCAATGATGCCAACTCCTACGGCATGTTCCCCTTAGGAGCTAACTTTAAATATCCCTAAATTTATTATTATACACTCGCTGTGTAATTTCAATTATGTATGTAATTAAATGACATTTCATTTTGCGCTTTTGTCTGTCGAAGTTGGTAGGCGACGCATCAGAGTGACGCATCAGATTACTTTGTGCATTATTATAAAAAATACTTGTAAAGAGATAAATTAAAGGATATAATTGAGATGAATAAGTAATAAAGTAAACTTCAAATGTCAAATTATTTACTTTTGTTGGTTAGGTTTGAGGCTTAATATGAATTGTATAGAATCGAGCGTTTCTTTAATAATTTTTTTTCTTTAATGTACCCCCTACAAATTACCCTTGACATTTTAATTCCCCCTAAATTTCAAGGAAAACCCCCAAGTTGGCATCACTGGGTTATCATTGTTTAGATAATACTAATTTGTAATTACGCCCTCAATTATTTAAGCCTTGACTTGTTTTATCGCGGAATTTGCTTAATGCTAAATAAAGAATATCCATAGCGCTAAATCACCTCATGAGCATACCCCACATACACACTTTCAGTAGTACCTTACAAAATAAATATTCGTTAACATCAAGAGTTAATTCTACACGTGTTAGATAGTTGTAATGAATATGTTTGATAACTGATACTTTACCACAGACAACTCATAACTACATGCAATGGAAATTGAAGTGTTTTATTATGGCTTTTGTTCAATCAAGTTACATAGACTGTTTTGAAAGGCATATGACTTGACACAAATGGTTCCATAAACCCCCTTTGTTAGAGCTTCTGCTGACTTCGCACCCGGAGAACTACCAAGTCTCTGTTGATCGGATCATTGTGTTGAAGCACTGTGCCTTGTTGTGCTTTTCGTCAGGTACTGTTGCTGAATCAGTCGCCGAGGTGGTCCTGCAGTGTATGGAGCTTCTTCTTCCATTCTCTGCCGTGCTAATTGGCCAAGCTGTGTATAAACGATCTTGCGTCGAAAGCGGGAATTTCAAGCCTGGACAGATACACAGAATGTCGATCCTGTGATTCAACTATCTGGTGATACACTCTACCCGTCACCACAAGCATTCTCCAAAGAAAAACTTTTCTTAAAAGTTTCCTTTGGTAACGTACTAAAGAAAGCCGGTTCCCTTGTAGTTGTCTGAGAATAGAGAAATTCTTCCTTTTCGATCTCCAGGGAATCCTGAGCGTCCGCCTCCAACACCAAATTTAAAGGCATCTAACTTCTCATTTAGGATGCAGTAAGTTTCAGCGCCGTATAAAATAATGAGGAACAAGTGACTCAAGTATTTTAAGTTATACTTCTTTTGGCGCGTTAGGGAAAAATGATGAGAGTACATTTTTACGATGCGCGCGCACACCGTCACAAAAACCGACACCCTGAAGTTAGCTATAGTCAACGTTTTAGTTTTTTCTACAAACGTAGAATACAATTTTTGAC